AGGAGCCGTTAAAAGCTGCCTAAAGGCTTTCTCACTTATTTTCAACCTCTACCATTCTCCAATCCTCCCTCCTCTAAGTCAGATTCTGGGTCCTAAGTAGCAATCAAACTCTATAAACTCATTGTCTGTATTTAAAAAGTCAGGGTATTGATACCTTAAATATCACTGGTGCCCCCTCTGCTAAATACAGACATGGCGGGATCGCTCACTTCATCCATTAAGTATAATAATTTAAAAGATCGAAAGGGCGATTAATATTAAAATTATGGCAGGAGTAATTGTTCATATTTAACTCTATTAGTGTACCATGATTTAAGTACTTATGACTTATAGGTGAATTTACGGATGTATAATTTCTTACAATAGAAATCATTATTCATCCTACACCAAACAAGATTATAACTAAATAGAACATAATGTTATCATGTAATTCAACTAGACCTTCCATTTGCGGTGTAGCACTATCTTGAAAATATAGACCCCAAGGTCTAGGCGTATCACAATTATTAAGAAGATTGAAATTTAATAAATTAAGCATATATATTTATAAAAAAAATGTTTTTTTCTATTATAGATATAAAAAATAAGTAACCTTATCAAAAGTATTATTGACTTATTTTTCATTTCCTAAAAAGCCACAAGTGAAGGGCAGATTGAAACACCTATGCTTCCGAATTTATTCTTACGCTTAATAATCTATTTATATAAAGAGTATTTTAACCCTAAACATTTAAGGACCCATCCCGGCCATTAGTATAATTGTCTCGCTCTTCCGTAGAACTAAGATAATGGGTGGTTCATATAAAAAGGCCAATATAGCCTCAGTTCTGCCTTATCAGCTTCCCACTATTCCCTGTGTAATGTCATTCCTTTTAACAATAATCTTTTTTTAACTCTTTATCTTTTTTTTTTCTTTTTCTTTTACTCCTCCCCGTCTATCAAAGAATCAAAAACCATCATTCTACTCCTTAGGATTCAATATTATTTTTCTATATCATTTGTGAATATTTGAATGACCTAGAGGTTTTTATTAAAGATCATTATAATGAAATGACTTTATTTCTACTTTAATTTTTAGTTTCCGAGCTCAAGAGATATATTTAGGATTTCAAAAGAACTTTGAAAATATACACGACTAAATATAGTAGGTTCATTGAACTGTCATTCTAGATAAAATAGATACTTCATATATAAATCCTAAACCAGACACCCCATTCCAAAAAAGAATAAACCCACAAGTTAACAAGCAAGCGTTAACTAAACAATTGATCCAATACCCTAAAACAATATAGAAAAATAAGCATCTATACTCATGGAAGCTGATATCTACTATATATATAAATATACAAATTTCACAATTCCATGCTTCAAGAGTCAACAATCATAACGCTCTCCTCAAAGCAAAGCTTGTGGGGAAAAAAAAGTCCAAGAACGTGGTTCATGACCGGTACAACAATCCATCCAGCCTTGTTTCAATACAAGGATCCGAAACTCAATCCCCCAGAAACAGATAACGTCTGACCAAATTCGTCACTTTGTCGGTAGGTTATATTTAGATATGCCATGTTATGATGCATGTTTGATGATTGGTAAGATGGATAGATGTATATGAATTATCTAGGTGCTGGTGAATGAGATGAAGGAAGTGAATGAATGGATAATTATTCCCTACAGAAGAGAAAGATCATGTATAAGCCTTCGGGTGATATGATATGCAGATAATGGGAGAATGAGGCGAGACGCTTTGTTCTTGTGCATATTCATATGTATGTATGTATGTATGAATATCCAGGTATATGTAGTAATACTATAATACAACATTTATACCTCTTCTCGTTCACCATAAGGAACACCAATACCTCAAACGCAAAGCTTAAATCAAGCATATCTGTAGGATGAGGAGAGTTTCCCCCTAAAGATACTTCCGGAAGGAGTAAAACTCACACGCAAATGTGTGACAAGAAGCACGAAATGATGGGGTAAAAGGTCTGATGTACGAACCTTACCTTGTATGCCTGCCATGACACACCAAATACAAACAAGTAAAATTTCGCGTTGCGGATCAAATGCACATCAAACGCTGTAGATCAAACGCTGTACCTATATCAAGAATCGGAACTGCCGGGAAGATTAAATTGATCTTCATTCGGTCAAGACAAAACAAAATGAGTGAATGCAAATTTTCCAGCGCTTAGAGGCTCCTTTCTCAAAAATTTCAAGGACAAGAGAAAACCGGGCGCTTAGACAGGCTTTCAGCGCTAAGGTTATAATTTCGAATTATGAATTCATTCGCAGAAAAGGGATCTCCACATTTCACTTGGAACTCTTAGATTTTGTGATTTCTGACGAATGGTCATGAGAAACATGGAATGTGAACTCCACATACTCATTTTCTCATTTTCATGAGTTTATAAAAGATGGCGCTTCATGTACTTTGCAATTTCCAAAATACGATTGTAAAATTAAATCACGTGGTATCCATGATCCCACTAAGAAATCATCCCGGAAATCCCTATATCCCTTCCCGGGCGCCGGGAATGCTTGCTGACCTGCTTACTTGCTTACTTACTTTCAACTTTCACATACATATATGCAAGGTTGTTTGAGGCTTAGTCCATCAAGTGACGGGTTTATAAATCTTGCTTCAATGCCCGTGCTTTGGCCTTTGGATATCCTATCCGCCTTCGCAAGATCCGTCAGTGTTGGGCACTAATTTCTTACATGCAGGGCTTTTGCAGGCGTCGCAGGCGAGGCGGCTTTTTGCAAGCAAGCTGTAAGTATGTGTTAGCTACCAAATTTCATTTAGGCAACCAGATAAAAAAAATTAATGGTATTTCAGTGAAAACAATGGGATTGATGCCATGCCCTATAGCATGACATGGCAGGAGAGACGGATGGAAATTATCAACTGAGAGGATGGCGAGAAATGTGCTGTAGCCTGCGCAATCAGAAAATCTTAAAAAAAGGTTATATTGCCAAGGATCAGTGCTCAAGTCAAGGGTTTTGCCGTTCTTCGCGCCAAATGACACACTGCACACCGTCGGCTCAATAGATCCCCAAAGCGATCATCTCATTCGTGTAGCATCAACCTATAGGAAGAGTGTTTCCACAATGAGTTGGTGCTACCTCGGTTCGATCTCCACTGTTCACAAGATGAAACATACGCTGGATAGTAAAGAAGGGACATAACCCACCAAGCAGTGACAAACACCGTCTAGCAGACGCAAGTAGATCATCCATGTGCTCCGGTGGCACAATTTTGTGACGCCACTAGATAAGTCTGAATGTCCAATGACACCTTCCAATCCCAATGTCTTGCATTTCTCTTTCCTGTTTCCTACTTCATCGCCGACCTTTAAAGATTATTTATAGGATAGAGATGGGATGGAAATTGAAGGAATGTTCGAAATAAATGATAAGGGTATCATGAACGTTAACACTAAATCATATGAGAGGGGACTTACGCTATTCTAATGTTCCTGTAGCACCAGAAGAAATCTCCTCAGAGCATCCTTGGCGGCTAAAAGGCTGCAACGTACGTCCGGTTACAACAAAACAATGCGGCACCGGTCGCTTGAAGCCTTGAATATATGCACCTGCAATAACCGGGGAAGCGCAGCTAGAGAAACCACGAGGACACGCCCTTCCACGAGAGAAGATAAAGAAATTCAGCCGTCTCTAGCTCTGTAAGGGGTGATGTAAGATGCGGGCGAAAATATGCAGGAAGGCTTCCTAGAAGACAAATACACGCCACGTTGGTTGTCTAGATCCTCCTTCCGTATAGAGGCGATCCGACTGTACGATTGTTTGCCTTGCCATACCTTGCTTGCCCTTGGTCGGATCGGAGAGATGATGCTGCTGGCTCGATGTAACAGATGTAACAGCTCAATTCCGAACGTTGGTTTCGCTCGGGTGTATAGCGGTGAACCCTGGAGGTACTATACGGAGGGGTATCATCCAAATTGGTTGAATAATGGAAAGGCGTACAAATTGATAATCTTGCCGAATTCGCGTCTAAAACCTTTTTGATTGTGTTTTGGTGTCAGTGATATTTAGATTCATGCTGATGAAAGTAATGTCCGTTAGTCAATACGAAGCAATAATTGATAATGATGTGTTCGTTCCCAATTTGGTCAAGATTTACTCCATATTGAGTGAAAAGCTTGGGAATCCAACGATGAAAGGTTGGTTACAGTAGTGTGTGATCGGTATCTACCGGTAGTGATAAGGCTTTCTTCGATTGTTGGGTACGAACCATAATCTACTTCGCCCAAATTACTCTTAGAGTCGAAAAGAAAGCCATGGATCCAGATGCCAGAATTCCCCATGTAGAATAAAATATCTGCATTATTCATTGGCCCGCGACTTGCCGCGACATCGTTCAATGATTATTGAAGAAAAAAGCCACGGTACTCGTACCAAGCACGACATGATTATTGATCGACTTTGGTGTTGGCCGTTTTTCGAGGCCTTATCCAGCGCTTCAATCAAATGAAAGTTTGCTTCGTATAGACGCAAGGTCGGCAAGGTAACCTAATAAATCCCATGTTAACGCTGCAAGCGGGTCAAACTCTGTCGGATGTCCTCATTGGTCTTTGATTTTCGATCCAATCTCATTGTAGATTCCAGACTCTTTTTAGAGTTCCGTGCCTCTTGTGCCACTGGACAAGTACCAAGCTTGTCGTGAAATCCTGTTAAATAATACTTTAAATGGTTCATTCCCACTTCCACTTAAAGAGTCGAGTTCAATTGATCCTTGAACGGACTTTGAAGATCCTGACCAAGATTTATTCCTGTGTGATCATCCATGTCAGTGATCCCTTCGGACCTTTGTTTCATACAGACGCAGTCGGTTGACATACTACGAGCAAGTAAACTCAGGGGGGTGAAAGAGGGGAAGTACGTCGGTAACTTTTCGTAAGAGTGGGAAGCAAGTCATCAAATCGAGCCGATGGTTTATCTCATTTAGTATTTTTTTCCCTTTCGTGTAATCCATCCGGATCTTTTCCATCTCGATTCGACCCCGTTTTTTTATTGTTGCGCCAAAAGATGATTTTTATGCGCGTTCCCGGCTGAGTGATGACTTTTTGAACTTTGGCAACCAGGTTTAAAAGGCGGTTGAGTGGGAAGAAGTGTGATTTGGGCTTTGGGTTCCATTTTGGCTTGGGTCTTTCTTGGGGTCAGTGTAAAATTCTATAATCAAGTACCGTACGTAGTTTTTCTATTAGGCTGATTCCTGGGCCGGTCGACCATCGAGGCTATTAAAAGTCTCATGTTGGCCAACGCGCCAAAAGATCAAGTGGGTGGATGGATGCACTGGATGTAAATCAGAAGTTACCAATGGAAAGAAAGGGAGGAATTGTCTCGTTCCGTTACAGATGGAAACGTAACGTGACGCGAATGCATCATCACACAGCCTCGATGATTTGTTCCTCTTGGGTATCTTGGGTCTCTTGGATAATAAGTATATTACCTGATTGATGTACGGAATATGGAGAGCTGATGGATGGCGTTGATTATTTGATTATTTGATTGATGATTGATAATTGATGATTGAGTTGGTTTGTTATTTGCAATTGGGTTTAAAGTAGCTAGGGTTCATGAATCTTGACTCCATTAGGAAAAGGATGCAAAGGATGAAAAGTATATTTTGATATTTTACTTTAATGTGTTGCCGACCTGAGCTCGTTGCACATGGGAAATTAATATAGCCTTGCCTAATCGAGATAGACGCCGAAGTAGATTTATTGAGACGCAGCCAATAGGAAGTACAGGACATGGGTGTTTTATCGTCGCGCAAAAGCGAGCAGCCGCTCAGCTCACTCCGATACAAGCAACCTTGGAAGGGCTCGATGTGGTACCGTACTAGGTAGGGAGTAGGTGGTTTTGTATCGTCATATTTATCATTTTAATGATTTTAGTATGTAGTACACAATCATTAAGCGTTCAATGTCCGATATCAGGGAATTCCTGACTCCTGATCTGGATTATCTAATTGAAGAGTATAGATAGATAGTACTTGGGAACCGGACATTGTCATTGGGTCAATGGAGGGGGACAGCTTTCCATTTTTCCGATAACTAACCCCAACCATCTCACAACGTGCCAGTGGATACGAGTATTAGTTCTGGCGGTCCTTAAATTATTCATTGACAAGGCTAATATATGAAAGTTTCCAAGTCGGTGGATTCGGTAACATCTCTCATTCATTCATTCATTCATTCGGTCACCAGTGGGATTATTGGATCCTCTTGACAATTGCAGTAATAACACTGCCTACCTACTACTTAGTTTCCAACCAGGAAATTCCCTAGTTGCAGCGTGTATCTAGGATGCTTGATGTAATGTAAGATATCATGAGCTTGTAAATTGTGACCCAGATGATTGAATGAGCTGGGAGAATATTGAATTTTGGAAACAGGATGAAATTGTAACCTTGGATAAGAACTGTAAAAACCATACATATCCCGCGTAAAAAGAAGGTGCTGACGCCAAACAGGTGACAATGTAATGGAGTTAATGAGAACAAAGCGTCATTTTGTTATGGCAAGAAATGAGCCTCGCAGTCATAATTATATCAAACCTCCAATAAAATTATAGTTACTGCAACGATCATTTCTCTTTTTATTGTTTCTGTAATATTTTGGTCAGAACTTGGGCCGTGGAGTTATTTAAAAATAAAATCGATGTATATCTTCAATCAATTTTTATCTTTAGATTTATCAGGAATATTAAAGTGTATTTTTTAAATCTCAACTAAGTTTACTGACTAGTGAACATATTTTTAAGTCTTCCTTCTATATCTACACCCATCCGTATTTACCAAGTAACATATAAGAAATATACTCATATCTTTGGACAATGCTTCACTCCAAATACTCACTACGCTGTTCTTACCTTTAAATTACATATTAGAGAATATACTCAGCTGGCATAACTTTGATGATGAAACTCTTGACTGCAAATAATATAGCCTTCTATAACTTAGTACTCTACTCTACTCTGCTCGACTTCCTCTCCCCTCTTCCTCTGCCTGTCCCTCTTCCCCTCCCTCTCCTCCGATCACTTCCATCTCTTCATCCCATTTTCTTCACTCAATAACATTATTCCCATTCTCACATTTCGCATTTCACATTTCACAATCTATCCATCCACCATTCATGCACTCAAGCTGAATCACCCAACCGCCGAGGATTTTCATCTTACCGAGCTAAACGCGGAACATGGTAGAAAAAGAGGCACTAAAAGGCCTTAAAAGCCACTAAAACAACCCATGACGATTTGTAGTACGGAACAGACGCTGGTCAATATATTCCCACATACCCCAACAGCCATGATATTTTAATTCTTTGCGTCCCTTCGTTACCATCCCGCTGGGTCAAAGAAATCGAAAAAGTAAAAGAATACTATTGAGAAGACGAAAAAGTGACGACCTTCAAGACTTTCACAACAAAAACAGCCGCCATTCCTATATTCTATCTATTCCTGATTAAACCTTTTTTCTATTTAAGGAATTTGACATTTTATTGATGACATACATTTATCCATTCATACATATCAATTCATCAGTCAATCAACCAATCAATCAATCAATCATCCTATACGGACAACCATCAATTCCGATAGTGAAAAGAGCGACAAGACGAAAAGCGCGGAATCTTTCATTTACCAAAAATACATCAATCCGTCTTTGCCGACAAACATCCAGTTCTCTACCGCCATTTTGTACTACCTTCAATATTCTCAAGGAACACGATCCGTGAGGCGAAATCATTCCACCATTCACCATCATAATCATTGGCGATTCGGCTGGACCAATCTATCATTCACTTCACTCAAACCCATATTTCATCGAGAAAGAAAGGAAGGGACTCCATTTCAAATACACGTGAATGAAGTGTAGTTCCATTCATTTGCTACATTTCTCTATGAAAGAGAAAGTATCGAGTATCGAAATCAAGTATCAAGTATCAGTTTAATCACTTGCGCCAATTGATTTGATTCACTCCTCTGACTTGACTCGACATTGGGCGACAATCTTGTCAAGAGAAGAACACATCCTTTTAGTCAACAATAATCGACCATCATCATTGATTTGATCTTTCAACTCTTGAGACAAGATCAAAATCCTGTTTTATACTTATTGCGATCGATATCGTTTACCGGGCACCAGACACGAAGTGAATTAATTCGACAACACAGTCAAGGTTTTGGAAATATTCATCACAATCATCAGTCCAAGATTTGGTGGTGTCTTGTCTTTACAAATCATCTGGTCCACATTTCTCAACGGATCTCAGCTCAGCAAAGGGAAACGTCGATAAGGTCACGAGTTTATTCTTACTGAGAAGTTTTCGCATCAACAGGTCGCTCGTCCCAGATTCCAAACCTTAGATTTGAAGTCTATATTCCTCGAAAAAGGAAAGGAGTATTAACGAATGGAAGGGTAACTCGACAAAGTCGACTTTTGGAGATATTTTTCTATTGGGATTAGAAAGCGCGCGTTTGCTATTTTAGGAAGGAACGTGATCTTTACTCGGATTTTATTCGAGCCCGTCATATTGGAACAATTCATTTATTAAATACTTTTAATCCCGTACGTTTAACCGCCGAAAAGAGATTTTCTCCTTTGTCTCTAAAATTTCCACTGTCGCAATAGGGTAAATCAACTTGCATGAAGGCGCCTAACACCATGACTACAGAACAAAGTCTCCTTGGACCTCAGGAGCTTGCGGATTTAGCTCGAGAAATTTTGGTGGTCAACTCAAGTAGTGACGGAGGATTAGAAAACACTCAAAATATCGTCGAAATGGCGAGTCCAGGAGGTGCAGATAAGCAAGTCGAATCACCGACTGCTAGATTTACGGCAGTAAATGGGAGGAGTCAAACTGAAATTCCGCCTTCGACCAATGGCAATGGGAATGGAAACAGCAATGGTGTGAATGGCAATGGTGTGGCAAGGAGGGGTTCTGATGAGCGATCAAATGGACAACCTCGAATCTCACCTCCAGGTCACGAGAGATTAACCATCACAACTACACAGGAGCAAGATTGGCCTTCCTCCACGAACGGAGAACGTACTACTTTACCCGATCGCCAAATGAATAATAGCCAAAACTCAAATCATTATTCAGACGAAAATTCCCACAAACGTAAAAGATCGGGTTCGATGGATCAAGGCTCATCATCAGCAAATTCATACCACAGTCATGCTCTACCAAATTCGACAAAAGCAACACCAACTACGGCGACCACCGAATCCGATGGTAACAGAGATGAAGCAACTGTCCGAGCAAAATCTCAATCTCAGGTAGACTCTAGAGATACCTATAGTTCCGATACACAGTATAGGCAATTCATATCAGCAAATGATTCGGCTCGGGAAGCGGCTCCGAATGACTTGTGGCATTCCCGACATTATGTTCAGCATCCTCAAGTTAGTTCCGATGAGCATCTTGGGGAAGTCTTACAAAGAGCATCTCAAAATTTGGATGCGCAGCAACATGAGTACGACCGTCGCACACTTTCTGGTGATGATAACAGATATGCTGATCCCCAATCTGCATATGGTCAGGAGAGACGGGAATTGTCTGCACAATCAGATCTCAAGAAGCGGAAAAGAAATTTCAGTAATCGGACTAAGACGGGTTGTATGACATGCAGAAGAAGAAAGAAGAAATGCGATGAATCTAGGCCAGAGTGTAAATTATTTGAAAACGATTTTCTTAGCTTTTACTGACTTTAGATATAGGTAACAACTGTCTCCGTGGTGGGTTCGTCTGCTCAGGATATCAACAACGAGGTCAATACCCAAAGGTCGAAATGAAACAAACTCCAATTCCATTACAATCCAAGACGGAATATGAGAGCCCTTCCTCATATACACAGCCATCACCGTATGGAAATCAACCTGGAATACCGACTCGAAGGGAACCGTTACCTGGATATCGTGGCCAGAGCTTACGTTTAGATCCTCACAGCAGAGCCATGACGGATGGTGACGATCAAGCAAGTGCGACGACTTTACCTAGTGCTTCAATCACAAGTCCAGAAAATAATAGAATAACCGCATCAAGCTATGGAATTCAACAAACGCCAACTCCTGTCAGCGCAAATAGTGCTCATCCTGATCGTTATAAGAATGAGTATTCACGCGTTGGGCCTCTTCACGATCTTTCCAGGCAAGAGCCAAGGACAGAATCAGATACTGGCACACCACATTCTGCTCGTGAACCTAGTTCTGCTCTTCCAAATCTATTAAATCACCAGATTCACCCCGATAGTCCTCATAGCAGCGCCCAAGTTGCAGCTCAATTAGCACTTTCTCACCCTGCAAGTCGACCACGAACTCAAAAAGAAGAAATGTTAGCTGGTCGTCATTACTTTCCATTTGACAAAGAACTAGTTCTTGAGCGTGAACGCTGTAATACAGCTTGCTGGCGGTTTAACAATAGCACCAATCCTAATAATGGTGTGTCACCAGAAGAACGTGCTCGTCAATTTCGAGATATTCTTCAACCACGCGATCACGTCATTTCTCCCACTCAAGCTTCACCTGCCAATCCTGTTGGCAAAGTCGGTGATAATGTGGTCGTTGAAGCTCCATTTACTTGTGATTATGGATATAATATCAGCATTGGACAAGATGTGGCGATTGGAAAGAATTGTACAATTCTCGATACTTGCGAGGTTAAGATTGGCGATCGTTGCAATATCGGACCGAATGTTAGTATCTATACCGCAACGCTACACACAGATCCCAAAAGAAGACTTGGATCTCGAGGACCAAATTTGGGAAGAAAGATTATTATTCAGGAGGATTGTTGGATTGGTGGTGGTGTAACAATCTTGCCCGGGAGGACTATTGGAAAAGGCAGTACAGTGGGAGCAGGTTCTATCGTTACAAGAGATGTTCCACCTTACACAGTAGCTTGCGGAAATCCGGCAAGAGTCATCCGTGGTCTTTACCCACCACATGAATGAATGAGCTAGTGGAATGCTCTACAGTTTCATCGTGGACGATGACCTAATGGATTTTCTTTCTCTTTTTCTTTTAATCTTTTTTTGTTCGTACCATTCCAATATATCTACGGATCGTTGGGAGTTTTACTTTGCGATTGTATGAGGGGTTAGATGAGAGACCGGAGATTTGTCTGTAATGCTCTAGTATCTTGAGTCAGCTTTTGGCGTGTGGAGAGCTGAATGGTGATTCGGAGTCTTATTATAACCTTTTCAACTCTTTTTTTTTTTTTTTTTTTGCTTGTGCTTGTTGTTCATTATGATAACATGTAGGATGATTGGATGGAGATGAACGGGAGTCTGCAGATGCGGGATTTTTGTATACATGAGCGATTTGAAATAGTGGTTAGATGATGTTTGTTGGGATAGTGGATGGTGGGATGGTGAAATGGAAAAGTATATCATATAACCTTTATCTTATATCATATTACAATATCATATTTTATTCATTTATAAAGTAGTGAATGTTTTTCAATGTTACACCTGTTGCGATAGAATGTCATATGACCATGAAAACACGTGATGGAACGGTGAGGAACGGACGTTCCTAGGAACAATCAGGAACGCCCGCTCCTAGGAGCAACGGCTCCTGACTAGCCATCGGCACAAAGGTCTATATAATCAAGATGGATTTCCTTTATATAGACCTTCGTGTTCTGAAAGTCGATCGACTCTTGAAGGGCCGATCGATTCTCAGGGAGTCGGTCGGCTTTCGGATCAGGTGACACTTATCACATGATCCTGCTAACTAATTGGTTACCTGATGCGGGTGTCACGAATCGCGACAATTATAACACAATAAAAGCAAGTACGGAGGTTTGGGCCGCTGTTTCCGGGGGGTCCTTATCGATAAGGAATCCTAGGACAAGTGTCCTAGGATAAAATATGTCCCAGGATAATAATTATCCTAGGACAAAACGATTAGGCAACCATGTAGGCTTAGGACGTTATTCGTCCTAGGATAAAGTGTCCTAGGATAATATGTGTCCCAGGACAATTATCCTAGGAGCTATATTATCCCAGGATAAGAATCGTCCCAGGATTAGTGTCCTGAGGCCTTTAAGGGATCACGTGATGGATAGACTGGATAGCCTAGTCTATCCAGGCTATCCAATGGTATTCAGAAGTATATAGTTAGAATAGTTCCATAGTTTAAGAGCTTCGTGCTCAACTTAGTTATCAATTAGTTTACCTACATTCTACTTGATCTAGTAACGACTTCACTTCCAAGTGAATACCAGTGATAAAGCCTTAACCCATAACTACCAACCAGACGAAACCTTAGGCAGCCGCTGCCTCCAGTACAGTATCGTTACAAGCACTTCCACATGATCTAGACGGCAAACCTCGTAATATAAATAAAATTATAAAAAATCTGAAATTTTCAGAATTTATTATCATATAAATAATAAATCTGTAATTAAAGTTTCAAAGAATTATATTTATAAATAAAAAAAATTATAAAAATTGATTTTTGTTATTTTTGATAAAGAAAAATAATTGGAATTAGAGGTAATGTGACCAAAAGGGTGTTTATAGACCAGCAATTGTATTTAACTTAGAATCTACAGGTGAAGAGCACCTGTAGATGGGGATAGCTACTCTATATATACACAAATGAATGGCCTAGCCGCAATGGCTAGGCAAAAAGAAGTCGTATTTATTCCTCCAATGATCTTACTTTACCGATAACCATTGATACCTAGTACTTGTCCGGATCTGATCCTCAGGTCACCTAAATCGCATACTAATCTCGAGTAATCGTATCATGTGTGGACATGGTTAATGTACCTGAGGTTTCTTATATAATAAAGGTGGGAGGAAAGCAGGGATTTCCGTCACAGGTAACTAGAAAGTAGGGTATTAGATTTAACAGACGAAATTTTTCCATCTAGTTATCATCTTTAATCTTTATTTTTTCCCAATATCAAATCTTTAAATCCCTATCAGATGATTCTTTCTCTTTCTCTCTGTCATCTTTTATATCTTTAATAATATACTGGTTTTAATATAATGCCTTCAAGAAATTATTCACAGTAGACAGAAGTCATGACAGGGCCAATCTAATACCAGCGGTGAAATCTATTTGCATTAGTAAATGTTCTCGCGATTGCTTGATTGGGATTACTGTTATAATTTTAATACTATGGTTAAAAAAACACTTGAGTGGTACATATTTGAGCAATGGGAAATGACAAGAGGCAATAGTATGAGATGAGATGAAAATAAAGAATATAGAACATCCTCTTTTAAAATCAGCATTGAGGACCATTCCGAACCATGTATCTCACTCTTAATACAAGTGTAAACAGCAGTTAGCTTAAATCACAAATGCATATAACATCTAATGATCCTCACAAGTTCTGTTGTTCCATCTTTCCTTTTCTAGAAGGAGAAGTTTTTCATTTGTGAGAGATCTAGTTAATAGGAACACATACTAAATTTATATCAGGGAATTGAATCAAGCTTTGTTCAATTCTAAGTCTCCTATCCTTGGGCAGCTTGTTTAATTCTATATTTTTCGCCCTTTTTCTATTGATCATACAGAATAAAAATTGTTGAATTTACCCACCTCATTCCATTTATGTCTATCTCCTAACCGATCCATCATAAATTGTTGACCTCCTGGGATCTTGGCAGCATATGCATGTATATTGCATGATGCATATAAGGAGCAAACAAAACTCAACTTTTAATTTATTCTTTCCTTTTTGGTATATTGTTTGTTTGCTTTCAATATTTTGATTTCAAAGCACTTTAATTCCGAAGGCCGAATACCTAACCTTTTCCTTCATTTTTTGAATATATACTCGCTGTGTGAACGAAGTGAATGACTTCAATTCAATTACTACTGTAATAAAGAACTAAGCGAACGCGAAAGAGACTAGCTCTTTTAGTAAGTCTATATAAGACTTACTACTTTCAATATGTAGCTAGCTCTTTAGACAGAATACAATTAGACATACAGGACCTACGTAATCCGTGGGTGCTACGTCTTCCGTATCCTTCTCGTACCAACACTCGCAGCTTAACTGCTTAGCTAGAGAATCAATCAATTCAATCTGATGCTCTTTCTGGTCTCAAGAAACCCAACATAAATAGCTTGGCCTCACTCTTTCCATCTTCCTTCCACTCTTCCTCTCTTTTACCGTACTTCAATTCATACATTTAATGAGTATATGCTCACTTTTCTATCCAAACACAGCTCCCAAGAAATATTGATAATAAGAGCCAAAAGAAACTCCAAAGGCACTGGGCCAAACTGACCAGTTGACTGCTGATATGTGTCTAGGTATGCGCTGTAGTTCTGCGGTGAATCATGACCTAGCAGATTCGGTGCACCAATTGAATTGCCTACGAAAGAGAGATCGACGGTATTATAAAGAGCATCAGTACTATTTAACACAGATTTTCAGAAAGAATTTAAGGATATAGTCTCCATAAGGATGAGAAAATCAGTCAACTCCGACCACCACTCATATTGTAGAGCTGAGATTCATGTGAACTGATCAGACCTAGTGTCTATGGCCCTCTTATATTTTCGAATAATGATTTTGAATTTTAACAATGTTTATTCATATTAAATCTTCGAGTTCTCGAAGGAGGCCAAGCCGCCAAAACCTAACTGGTTACTGAAATTCAGTGGGTAATTGAGGTTTTGCACTTAATGAATCTATTCACCATAAAGAAAACATCTGTATCCCTTTTGGATTATTCATTCCTCCTGACCTATTAAAAGCGAATTTACTAGCCGATTCACTTCAAACTGCATTTCTCAAGGGTCCACGAGATCTCTACCCTCCCCTCCACGGTCCAATCTATGTATAAAACCACTATTCCTTCCCAAGGCCCTTGCCACAAAAACTTACGACCGATGTCAATATGTCGGATTAAATGTTCTTGAAAGCATACTATTGAGATTTCGAGGAGAATAAAACTTCTATTTTCTTAGGCGATAATTAGTAGCGAGGATGAGATTGAATGTTAAGACAAATACCGGAGATAAATTGAGATAATGAAAATAAAAAGACTTCGATACAGAAGACAACAATGCCGGTCACCGACACAATTCAGATGATAATGATGAAATGAAAATTCAAAGTAATAACAATATTTATGTAATACACTTCTTTAATCAACTTTGGCTCTTGTCATAACAGAATATAACACTTACTGAACCCATCAAGCATAATCCTTTCTGTACCTAGTTGAAGTCACAGACATATGAGTATAGTGATTCTGAGTTGATGAATTGTATAGTTTCGAGATCAGTGGATGATAGGAATATATATAATTAGATCTTGATTGATATCGATAATTACTGATGCTAGAATCATGGTTGTTGTTACTTTGTTAAAGCGCAAATCCTCTAATGACTCTCAAGGATTCACTTCATCTATATTTTTTTGTCACTTCAATTAACCGAATCTGCCTCTTTGATTCTTTTTATATTATATTTTCTATTTTCTATAAACCCGTCACCTTCTATTCAAAAATAACACAAACTAAAGACAGGCTGAAATGTGGCTGCAATGTCAATATCACCTCGAACTCTAAGGAGGGATTATGTCTCTCGATAGATAAATTAAACTTGGATTTGTCAATGATAGAGATGGGAAGGGGTTAATGGAAATGATAGAATAGGATAGGAGGTGAGTATATAAGCGAGAACAAAAATAAACAGGGATGATATGATATCTATTGGGTTTCTTGAGACCAGAAAGAGCATCAGATTGAATTGATTGATTCTCTAGCTAAGCAGTTAAGCTGCGAGTATATATTCAAAAAAATGAAGGAATAAGGTTAGGTATTCAGCCTTCGGAATTAAAGTGCTTTGAAATCAAAATATTGAAAGCAAACAAACAGTATACCAAAAAGGAAAGAATAAATTAAAAGTTGAGTTTTGTTTGCTCCTTATATGCATCATGCAATATATATGCATATGCTGCCAAGATCCCAGGAGGTCAACAATATCCAAAGCAAAGCAAACCAAATTAAGATTTAGTATATAAATATTCGACATCGAAATCAACATGAAGACAATAAAACCTTAAAGTATCACCATCACTATCGCAAAACTTGCAGGTAACAACTATCACCATCTATTTCTCACCACTCACCACTCACTACCTATCCAATCTCACTATCTCCCCTCTTCCGCCGCACCACAACCCCAACCTCACTTATGTACTCGAGTACCTTCACAAGCAACAATCCCGAGCCTCTTCTCTAACACAGCTCCCATGACAGAAGTACCTGCATACATTGTGATTTTGTCGAACCCCTTCTCAACTTAAGAAAATACACAAGCTTGGAGAGTGTATGTTAATCATCATAGCTTTGATTTGTTCGAAGGCATACCTTCTCTAAACGTAAAGATTAATATTGAGAATAATGTTAAATCAAACAAACATAATCACTAACTTTTCGAGAATTCGGAGTCTTATGATCCTTGATTCTGAATCAGTGATCCTCGATTCCCTTGAAGGACTTTTTCCTATTCCAAGTTCCTATTTCTCTGCTGGCCGCTCCCTCGGCCCTAAGGTTGCTCCACTTTACGATTGAGATCATTATTTACTATCTCCTCAGTAGTCAACTTGTATTGAACTTATCTAATCATCATTTTTGAGATGTGGGTAATTATAACTCCCCCTCACCCCATCCCATCTCCTACCATATAAACCATCCGAACTCCAATGCCAAAGTCTATATCTGTCCAAGAAGAAAAAAAAAGTTGAACCAATGCGTGATGTGGAATGAAAGATTAGGATATAAAAAGATGTTAAGGAGTTCTGGGGAAGTAGGGACATATAGACTTACTAAGAGGGGAAGGGAGAATGAGCAGAATAGACTGTTTTTTACTCGAGTATCGCTGTATTTATTTGATGAAATAAGATAAGAAGAAAAGAGAAAAGATAATGAAAAGAGATTTGAAAAGATAATAAATTAATATCATTAATCCATTGTTAAATTCATTATCATCATGATCTTCAATTGATCAAAACCAAAACCCAAAAATCATTCTTTGAACAGCTCAACTTGAGCTTGTGTAACAGAGATTCCAAATACGTAATAACATAACCTGAGAGATTAAAAAAACAAGTCTTTTATCTTCATTCCTGATTTTCTTGCCCTATACCACAGGCGCATTTTACTATAAAGTGAATATTATATTGGTATCCTGTACATCCCTGAGGCCATTCACAACCATACTTATCACTCAGACAGCACCTGTATTTGTAGAGACCTCTGGCGATGTTTCTAGATATCTATATAAACTCCCATTCAGCTTTGTCTTTTAACTCTATAATTACAATGGACGAAGACTGGTGGAGATTATTTCATGTATATCAATATCATTTTGTGCAAACTCTATTGTAATTTTATAAAGTATAAATAAGTGGAAAGAAGATATCTTAATAGGTAGCTTTGTATATGTTTCTACCTAGGTAAAGATAGCAAAAAAATAAAAAAGAAATTTATCTTACAATGACAACAACCACTGTATTAGAAAAACAACAATAGAAAAGCAAAAAAGTTACCACCTGATATACAAACTATTATATCTATATGCTGCATTACCTGGAATGCAAGGGGTATTATCTTTCAGATAAAAGTGTTCCAAGACAGCATAGAGGTGTCTGGTATAAGTACTAAAGAGAAAAGTGTGACCAAGTCGTCCTAGAAGAGAGTGGTTTTGGTGCCTGTGTTGATGGTAATGCAAATGTAAAGTTTTGTACGGGGGCAGTATCGAGGGATTTATATAAGTCGTTGAATAATAAATCTATTCTCGCTTCTATTAGATAAAAATAATAAAAACTAAATATTTTGAATAAAATACTTTAATAAAAGACTTCAGTAAAAAATTTTAATGAATTTTTTTAGTAAATCTTTTTTAAAAAAGATTTATTATTTTATAAAAAATAATAATAATAATAAAGAAAATATTATGTTAAAGTGAATGGTTCCTGCGTAGCACGTGCACAGGGCACTAGTCCTGTTAGGACTAGATTGAGAAGCTCTCTTACAGAGAGCTTCGCACTTCCGTAGAACTTAGAAGAGAGATTAACCTACTAGATCAATATTACCTCAGTTCTGCCCTATCAGCTTCCCACTATTCCCTGTGTGAGGTCATTCCTTTTAAAATATTATATAATAAAATAAATACTTTTTAAAAATATATAAACTTATATTCAATGTGACGGAAATCCCTGCTTTCCTCCCACCTTTATTATATAAGAAACCTCAGGTACATTAACCATGTCCACACATGATACGATTACTCGAGATTAGTATGCGATTTAGGTGACCTGAGGATCAGATCCGGACAAGTACTAGGTATCAATGGTTATCGGTAAAGTAAGATCATTGGAGGAATAAATACGACTTCTTTTTGCCTAGCCATTGCGGCTAGGCCATTCATTTGTGTGTATATAGAGTAGCTATCCCCATCTACAGGTGCTCTTCACCTGTAGATTCTAAGTTAAATACAATTGCTGGTCTATAAACACCCTTTTGGTCACATTCAATTTTAATTATAATATTTAAATAATTTACTTAATATTTTTTTAAAATTTATTATATTAATTCAATAATATCATTTATCAAAAAAAGATTGAATCTAAATTATTTAAGTTTCTTTTTTATTTATAAAAGTATTTAATTAAATTTATGCAAATTTTTTAAATATATTTCATATATAAGAAATAATTAAATATCTAAAACTTATCTAATACTTTCTTTAAGATTCCAAGTATATTTAACTATATATCAAATTTAACATACTCAGATTTATTTATCTATCTAATTAATATCTATCTATCTGTCATATAATTACTCAAGTCTCGTCTAATTATATTATATTCGTGATCATAACATTACATATGTACACGTGATATTCACACTTACTATACCATGAACCTCGAGCTCTATCTCTTCCCGTAAAATAAAACGATAAAAAAAAGCTATATACACTTTTCTATAGAGCGCCAGAATGCAGAATGGCTAGATTTACAAATTAAGATCCTACAACCGGATAGTTGTATTGCATAGCCGGTTTTTGCTTGGGTAGAGCGGCTGATGAGGATGCATCTATCGAAGAAGTCTTCCTTTGAATGTGTGGAAATTTTTGTTCTTGGTATGGTTTGAGGATGGCGTAATTACAATGTGAAGTTGTATATTTTATAGTTTAGTATAGCATAGCATGGCAGAACGTGGCATTTGTACCCAGCAAGATGAAATAAGCCATCATTTAATTCGTATTCCTTCGCGTCGTATTTCGGACATCAAATCCAATCAAATCAGATAAAATCAAATCCGATGAACTGGCAGCACGATGTGAAGAAAATTATCCTCTCGGTGGAATTACCACATTCACCACGCTCATCTAAATAATCTAATTCATCAAAGGGTGATGTGAATGAATATAATGATCTTAAAAAAGAACATCAAAGCATCGTATCTCCTAGAAATAAAGTTGCGGCTGTGTATATCCAAATCTCTTATTTTCTTTATTTTTGTTCGTTCAATGTTCATGAATAAATATACAATTGCAAGGCACCACCTGGTCTGAAAATGTATTTTTATTCTCGTAGATGATTGATATAATATACCTATACATAGTACAGTCTATATAAATCGAAATTGATGAGAAACAAGTCATCTCCTGTACAAAATCTTTTCACATCTTTTTTTGGACCCTTGATCTGATTTGATTGTATGTACTCCGACCGTAACCTTATGCATGTAGGTAGGTAGTTATCGATAGGGAATACATACGTACATACGTACATACGTACATACCTCCAGTAATCAATCAAATCAATCTTGATAACACGGACCGGACATGTGTGAAATGCACGAGGCACGAGACTGATTGAGCGAGCGAGCGAACGAACGGGTGGATTCACAACGTTGACGTTTTGATAGGGCTTGAGAATTCTTTTTCTCATACTTGTACAGACTGCAGAGTAAGCGTTACCGTTACTGTGAGCCTTCTTCTCGGAAGATTCGGGTTCAGTCAGTCAATCAGTCAGTCAATCAGTCATGAATGATGGACTCGTGGATCCTATGGAAGAAAATGAAAGAAAAAAAAAAAAAAAAAGATTGACCTGCAGGATGGGCTTGTTTTATGGATATAGATAGGTAGACTCATGAATGATCATTGGATGATGGATGTGTGATGATGCTCATTGGCGTTATGGAACCTTACGATTCATACCTACCGATAAAAAGTTCTCGACTTGGAATATCTCTTGCTCTTCCACCTTCCTTCCGCCTTCCGCTTGCTTTACTTACTCGGGGATGCAGGTACGAAAATTTTTGATATGCAACTAGCTACTAGACAGGACAGGAACGAGGTATATATGCATATGCATAGGAAAGGCTTTAGTTTGCATGCGTGATTTTATTCTTTCGTGAAATGCGTGCATAAATTTTTTTTGGGAGAGGGGGATGGTTTGTTTTCCATGACAACTCATACCGAGTACCGACCGTATCATTGAAATTTTTGAAAATCATTGCTTGGGCTGAGTGAGTGAGTGAGTGTTCTCGTTCTTTTTTCATCATGCAGGGGAAATCACAGCTGGAATTTACTACTTCTGTTCATCCCATTGCTCTGTATAGTAAGTATATGATTGGATGGAAATGATGAAACGGATGACTTTTTCGTACCTGGCTAAGCCTTCTATAGTGTGGATGAATGGATGGCTTACGCTGTAGTTGTCCATTCTATCCTATTGGAGTAAATTATCATGTCGTATCACGTACCTAGGTGTGTACGGGAGTGCCCCTCACTGCACTACTAGGAGATTTTAGAATTTTCAGGGGTCATTGCCTAATTGATTCAGGTTCTGCGGTCGGTGTAAGTACAGAGTATCTCGCTATCTGCAGAGTTATTGAACTATTTATCTGTTAATCTATTAAACTATTGATACTCAGTGAGAGAAGTAGGGTATGATCTCGCGCATTATCTTCTCGTGGTAAGTGGAGCACAGCAAGTAGATCTTTAGAGGGTCAAATGAAATCATTACGGACGGAGATCGGAAAATAGAAATACTCTGTACAGATTAAAGGAATGCTCGAAAAAAGATTCTCACTCATACGTATACTCTACGGTTTTGATATGTTTCAATGTTTGAATGTTTCATCTCATATCATGGGTATCTATTCTATTATCGACGGAGGAATAGGTATGCTAAGCCTCCTTCTTTCATTCCTAGAGGTTGATGGATGGGTTGTCAGGTTATCTGATAATCTGCAAATCATTTGAAGCTTGTGAACACTGAACACCGACACTGTTTTTCTTCATACCACCCAATTCATGGAAACTAGCATGAGAAGATAAACTAGTGAGTGAGTGCAGTGAGTGAGTGCAGCCATTTGCTACTACTACCTACTCTAGACTCATATTTGAGAAAGGTAAGGAATATGAATGAATGTCCATATTTAATTGGTTAATAATCCTTGTAGTATTTTCTCTTTTTCTAGGGTCTTTTCGTACCTGGCCGCCCTGCCAAGTAAAATTCCTCTCATCAAATCCACTTCTCACTAGTCAAACACACCCCACTATCCTAGTCAGTCCACTTTTGCGCCTTCTTCCTTGGAATTATACTAATGCTTAGCATAATTTACACAACTTTAATGAATATTATTCATAATCAGCACATCTTTTTCCAATCGATTGCCATCTCACTCCCTCCCTCCTCCCATCTTCTTCCCTCATCCTTTTTAAAGATACTCCAAATCCAAATCTTCTTTAGTACCTTTCAATCCTTCAAAGTACTACATTACACTCCTTCTTCCCTTCCTAAAGACAGCCAGCCTGCTTCACTCATTTCACTCACTGCAAGTCAGCTTGAAGCCTTTTTAAAGAATCCATCTTCCCCTCCTCAACGACTCATACACACGCATCAAACAATTCACCTCAATTCACATTCTTTACATCAGCCCTACTCACCAACGAGGAATATCGCCTTCCTCACCACCTTCCTTTTGAAGATCGATATCAATCATTGAAATTGCCAGTCATTTTCAATCTTCACACTCTAGTCATAAGTTGAACAATTTCATACTTGAGTTTTGGTTTAAGAGATTCATTCAAAGATACCCAATACACAACCACAACCATTTCACGAATTCATATCAAACAAATAAATAAATCACCCTCAATATGAAGTACACTACTGCCATTCTTTCAGGCCTCATGGCTGCTACCGCTGTAGCTCAACCCCACCTTCGTCATCAACATGTCGCCAGACACGAAAAGCGAGATATTGCTTGGGTTACCGAGACCGAAATAGTTACCGAAACGGTTGATTATACGACCACCGTTTGGGTTTCCGCTGGTCAATTACCCGCTCCCAGTACCAGCGCTCCATCTGTGACTCCTACCACTTTGGCAACTATACCAAAGTCTTCTGCTGCGGCTTCCACTTCTGTCCCAAAATCTACTGCTGCGGCTTCCACTTCTACTTCAAAGTCTACTGCAGCAGCTAGTAGCTCTACTAGAGCTGTTCTCGATCAGAAACCAAGCTCCTCAAGCTCTTCGTTTGTGGCTCCATCTTCTTCTACCTTCGTTTCTGTTGCTGTTCCATCTACGACACATACTTCCACAGTCGTTCTTCCTACTACCTCGAGTGTCGCCCCAGTCATTCCAACCACATCAAGTGTCGTACCCGTTGTTAAACCAACTACCTCGAGTGTCGTCCCAGTTGTTATTCCAACCACATCAAGTGTCGCACCCGTTGTTACTCCAACTACCTCGAGCGTTGCCCCAGTTATTCCAACTACCTCCAGTGTAGCTCCAGTCGTTATTCCAACCACTTCTAGTGTCGCGCCAGTTATTGTTCCAACTACCAGTGTCGTACCAGTTGTTATTCCATCCTCAACCGCCGCAGCTCCAGTCCCGACAACAACCTACGCATCATCCTCTTCCTCTGGGTCCTCTGGATCCTCATCTGGAGTTTGCGGTTCCGATAGTCCATGTACTGGAGATATGACTTTCTATGAAGCTGGTCTTGGAGCATGTGGAATCACAACTGATGGATCCACCTTTGCCGGTGTTGCTCTTCCAGTTGGTCTCATGGGTTCCCTCTCAAACAATAACCCATACTGTGGAAAGACAATCACCATCAAGTGTAACTCCACTGGTAAAACCACTCAAGCAACTGTCATCGATAAATGTATGGGTTGCGAGAATAACTCAATCGATCTCACAAACTTCGCATTCGATCAACTCGCTGAAGAAGCTGTTGGCCGCACTCAAGCCACTTGGTACTTCAACGATTAAATTCCTCGTCGATTTGTCTCGGTTTTCACATTTGATACTTTGGTTATTTATTACTCGGAATATCAAAGACAAAAATCTTTCTCATTCTCCTGGATATAAATATCGCCAGTTCGATATAAAGAGTAGATCTCTTTCATCTAAGGCTTTGCACATGACATCTTTTTGAAAAAGATACTTAACGAATCTCTTTGGGATATCATATCATTGGGAGGTTTTGGTTGTGGTGGTATATCCGTTGATTTAGTTTGTTTGTTGGTTTTGAGGAGAGTTTGAGGAGGATACCTATGCATGGAATGGTTGGTTAAGGATATCACATCACATCATCGCATTATCTGTTTGGCGTTCTTACCCCGTTTGGATCTTTCACATTTACATGATCTTGCGCTTTGATTTCGAATCGAAGCACATGCATTTCAAGATACCAACCATATCTTATTGGGATATGGAATGGCAGGAATAGTCAAAAGATAAAAACCCATATGATTGGAGGGAGCAGGGGGGGGGGGTTTCACCAAAAAGAAATATGAATGAAAAGTTACATGGAGATGGAGAGATTGCACAGAGACAAAATGAAACAAAATGATATGAAAATAACTTCTTGTACATACATATACCCACCACTTTAGATTTTAGTGTTTTGATTGAACACGAAATTCTTATGATTTTTATAGATGTTTCGTGTATTTTGTGATGATTGATAAATGGGTGATTTGAGTAGGTCTTTAATGTTTGAGTTGAGTTGAGTTGAATGATTGTACATCCTCCATCTTTATTCATAGATCCCTAAACACCTTTTCTTCCTTCATTAAACATAATAGCAACACTAGGTTCTTTATACTCTTAATTATCAAATCTTATAATCTTATAATAATGATAGTAATAATAATAATAATAAATATCAAATACTAAATTGTGAATAAATAATTAACATAAAATATAATATAATATAATCTATTTCCGCTGTATATTTATATAAACTGATATAACTAGGTGATATATTAACTATGCTCTTACAAAAACATACTCTTCTCGAATTTCTATCCGCCTTTTCATTATCTATATTTCCGTTCCAGTGGTTCCTTCTCTTAACTATACTACATACGTGCATACATACATCCATCCTATCGATTCAAACTCAACAACCCCTCAATATACCTCTTAGTATCAAGTCCTAAGCCCGCGGCTCCCCATCCTGCATCCCCTCCTCCACTTCCGCCTCCTGGACTACCTATCCAACTCCCCGCATATCCATATCCATATCCATATCCATAACTCCTTCCTTGTCCAGTTTCCACATAGTCACTTGCCCTTCTAATTAGAAAGATCTCTTTATCTCTACTCCTTTCCACTCCCCCAGGTCCAGCTCTATCATCTAAAAACGGATGTGCAGGCCCGCTGACACCCGTCCCACCTGTTTGTGCCATACTAGTTGCACCACTCCTCCCATCTTTATCTTTTCTCCCCTTATCACTTATTTCCCCCGTGAAAGTTTTACTCGTTTGACTTTCTGCTGAATCTTCTGGTATGAGGGATGGTATGTTAACTTTTGAATTTGTATTCGGTGTTGGTTCTGGGGGTGAGGGAATGCGTGTCCAAAGAATCCAATATCCTCTTGATGTTTTAGCTGTCCGTTCTAGTGTATTTATATCAGTAGTAGTTGCGATATATGTATGGAGGATTTGAAGGTGAGTGTTCAAAGCTTCAACGCGAGACCAAGGGAGACGATTTGCTTGTTCTTGTGTTTGGACTTGTTGAGGATCGGGAATATTAGGGATATTTGAGTTAATGGTAAGAGTTTTAGGGTCCCAAAGAAGATCGTAAACAGGCGCTGTTGGGTTGCTTGTACTGGCTAAAGGAGAAATAGAAACATCGGGTTTGGGTGCGCGAAAAGATGTAGATTTGAGAAGTGGTTTGATGAGAGATTGAAGTTGTTTATGAAGAGATCGATATAGACCTTGTAATGCTAGAGAATCTGCTCGTAATTCAAAGAGAAAAATGAAGATGAAAGGTTTGCTTGCATAAGCCACTACTCTTAATTTTCTCGCTTTATTTCGATCTTGACTCTCGAATGAAGCGTTGGAAGTGCCGGTACGTTCGGAATCACTGGTGCGTCTGATTGATGAACCAAAGTCGGAATAATCAATGCTGATATCAGCTTCTTGTCGAGCATCTTCTTCGCGTTCCAATTCTACTGTCAATGTACGAAGTACAAGTCGTTCATTTTTTCCTTCGATATCTTCACCTTCGGCGTTAAGATCGGTGAGTAGGTCTATTTCAGCTTCCATATCACCCATTAGACCTACTAGATAATGCCCTCTAGAGTCATCAAATTCAACTGTTTGTACTGATCCTTCAGTTGCGTCAATCGTTCCATCGATTGGAGGAATAGGAGTGGTCGAGGCAGTCAGGGGTTTGCTTTCTTTTGCTGTAGTCCCACCTAGAGACCAATGAGTTCCGTAACCGAACTTCAAGTATTGCGAAAACCTGTTACCCTTTGATTCGCCGTCTGTAACCTCAGTGCCTTCAGTACTGGTATGACTTGCAGGATTTCTATGAGGCGGTGGACGTGGGGATTTGAATTTGGATTTGGCTCGATCACCCTTACTATCTTCTTCCATGAGTTGTCGAAGCTCGGTTGCATTAATACTCGACGACCGACTAGGTTCAGGTCCGTCATGAGAGCCATCATAAATTGGTATCTCCTTACTCAGACTAGATGTTGGTCGAGCAGCATTCTTTGCATCCTTGAGTTTTGGTTCAACTCTTGGCTTAGGCTTAGGTGGCTTCTTCGCGCGACGAGTAGAAGAAGGATTGTCAATGACCCCATAAGCATATGGACCCCATCTATAAAGATCCTCAACCCAATGTGAAATATTTCTTAGTGATTTCCTTGACAAAGCTCCAGTACCAAGGAAAATTGCACCGTCTTCTGTGGCAGGTTCATCACCAGAACCTAACCAAGGAGCAGATTGCTTCGACCTTTGATCTGTAAATCCTTTATTGGCGTCGTCTTTCAGACTTGATTGTGCATCTCCAAATCTTGAAACTATCACATCTACAAGTCCATCCATTTGTCCAACGAACCCTTCGAGAACTTCTCTTTCACCACTACCTCGTTCTTCTTCCCCAACCCCTACGCCAAGTTCTCCACATGCAGCAACTTTTATTCCACCATATAAATTATTCGCAGGATTACCATGCATAAGCACATTCCATGTCGAAAGATATGTATCCCAATATCTACCCAGGATGCTCACAAATTTGGAACGTCTTGTTCGAACAAAAAGGGCACTCATTGAAGAGGCATGATGGAGGAGGAAAGTTGAGTGCGCTCGTAAAATATCTCCAAGGAGTAATATCGCGGGTTTAACTTCTCGAGAAGAATATTCGATAGTGTCCTGTTCTTCGGCAGGTTTGCCTTTGGTAGCCGGTATCTTTTTTGTGCCTGGCAATATGGTGAGATTGATTGACTATGCACACATTAGTACAACAAAACTAACCCAAGGATGAAGTTACTAACAGCCAGTATCCACCAGCCAGATTCCAATTCATGGAGAATGATACGAGACTTCTCAGTCTCTATAGTATCCACAGATTTACCCTCAGAAAAACTCCTTCCGAATTCTACCATTCCCTGGGCAAGTCCAATCTGCCTTAACTGTTCATTCTTTTGCTCTTTCGCAAACGCACGCGCCTCTTTTGTATCCTTAGAAGCCCCTCTTTTGTGTCCATTTTGCTTGATCGAGGGGTAATAATATGCAATTTGGTTATCGAGTGTATCATCGGTAGTTCCTAAGGAAGGGTTGTAGATGGCTAGAAAGCCCAGTTGTGCTGGTACTACCTTTCGACGTTGCTCAGACATTGCATGCTGGAGATGATTAAGAAGATGAAGACGAGGATATAAATATAATGCAGATCATTTCTTGGTTCAATCCAGTCAGGGGGTCAGTTCGTGGAGTTCCCCGGGGTCGCGCTGATAGTTCGATTAACCCTGGAAGTTTGTTCATGGTGATGATGATGTAACCAAACATGGACATTTCTAACTTATGCTATTTATGCTTATGTAAGATATCGACAAGAATACATGCACGTGACGGAGAAGATTATTGTAAGAAAATTGATGGAGGTCTCATGTGAGCTCGAGAATCGTTATTTTGACAAGTTGTTTTATTTTTATTTTCAATAACTCATGTATGGAAACTTGACTTGGTGCTGACTGCACTTTCTATAATCATGGGGCTCAAGATCAGAACCTCTTTTTTTGTGCTGGGAAGGATTGTAAGCTCATCAAAGCCATTTCCAACCTATGGATTCCATTCTCGACTTTTCAGTACCAACAATACTCCAAAAACCTCGAAACCTCTGAGAATTTTATTTTGTGGTTCCGACGATTTTAGTTGCGAATCTCTTCGTTCTTTAGTGGCAGAACAACAATCGGATCCAAAAGGAATCGCTTCTATCGACGTTCTCATTCGACCAGGTAAAAGGTTCGGAAGAGGCTTGAGGGAAACTCGTGAAGGTAATGTCTAGAAATCTGAGGATCAATCTGCCCTTGCATACTGATCATTGATAGTCCCGCTGAGGGAAGTGGCCGAAGAGTTGAATCTTCCTATACATGAGAGAGATACATTCACCGGATGGGATGTAAGTTTCGACTTTTGGATATGTCTTCGCTGCCTTGAGAACTTCAACTAATCATATTCTAGTTGCCAAAACCAAATGGAGAATCAATCAACCTCATTGTAGCTGTTTCGTTTGGTCTGTTTGTACCACCACGTATCCTCAACAGTGCTGAATATGGTGGAATCAACGTTCATCCTTCCCTGTTGCCACAGTAAAATTTTCCAACATTAGGTTTCTGTACCAATGCTAACCATAATGTATAGATACCGAGGATCTGCTCCAATCCATCATGCAATTATAAACGGAGACACAATTACTGGTGTCACACTTCAAACTTTGGATCCTCATAAGTTTGACCATGGCACTATTCTCAGTCAAGAAGGTTTCCCTATTCCACAACCAAGAACAATAAATTATCAAGGCCTTTTGGACTTTGTCACACCAAAGGCCGCGGATTTGCTCGCAAAGGGTGTTAGAAATCGAGTCTTCGTAAACCCAGAGTCGGATCAAGCGATCAAGCCTGCGCCCAAGATTAGCCCTGTTGCTAGATACATTAACTGGGAAGAAGGGTTATCTGCCGACGTCGAACGGAGACACCGGGCACTTGGTAGACTTTGGTGTTATACACGTACTTGGTGGTCAGGCAAGAATAAAAAAAGGACAATCTTCCATGATTTCGAGGTTGTACCACTACCAAAACAATCTGTGGTGATCCCAGAACGGGTATATAATTTATTCCCATCGTGGGAATATTTCTGCACTCCTGTCTATGCAGATCCTACTCATCCAGGATCTATCATCATTCCAACTGTACAAAATGGAGTGGGGCTCCGAGTCAAACAAATTCTCGTAGAAGGTCAGGTGGTCGGTTCGGCCATTGATGTTGTGCATAAAGTATCGGGTTTCACCAAAGACCCAAATGATGATGCTTCTATGTTCATGTCTGTAGCATTGACGGATATATCGGAGGATGGTCAGCCAGTTCTGCGTGAAGGTAAAGGCGTTGAGTATGCAGCGAAACACCTCCTTCCAACCAAGACGTTAAAAATCAACCGGGCGCGCCTTATTGATCCCATCCCCAAGAATTGAGGGTAAATTATATAGATGTATAGTAGAATAATAAACCGAGCCAAAAGACCCAGATTCCGGTGGTATATAGCGTATCATCTCATGACTCTCAAGTAGAGGATAGTGATTTGAACTGTGTATGATATGGAGCAGGAACGAGAGACATCGGAATTCTGAAAGAAAGAGGGAATGGGTGCTCTATGCACTACAATCTGGATACAAGCTTGTCCATTTTTCCGAAAAAAGGGAGCGGCATATTCCCTATCGAATTGGTAGTCGGGATTTAAAGCGTTGGATTTATGGAATGAAGGATAACAGTCACTATATCCAGCGTGGTTCAGAGTAGTACCCGTACCGTTGTTGAGAGAATGGAGAGTAATTTGACCTTAGTCTAATAGCGGACAACAATGGAATTTCTTCGTCTGCTGAGATTATGGGAAGCAATGGCAGGCTTGTCTAGTAGGTCAAAAACGGATCTGGAATAGGCTCTTTTGCTGCAATATATAAGATGTTGGGTTTCTTGAGACCAGAAAGAGCATCAGATTGAATTGATTGATTCTCTAGCTAAGCAGTTAAGCTGCGAGTATATATTCAAAAAAAAATGAAGGAATAAGGTTAGGTATTCAGCCTTCGGAATTAAAGTGCTTTGAAATCAAAATATTGAAAGCAAACAAACAGTATACCAAAAAGGAAAGAATGAATTAAAAGTTGAGTTTTGTTTGCTCCTTATATGCATCATGCAATATATATGCATATGCTGCCAAGATCCCAGGAGGTCAACATAAGATGTTATTTTTCTATGCCTAGTAGGCGCTCGAGAAAGATTTCTTTGATTTTTGAGAGTAAAAGGAGGTAATGGCTAATTCATCTAGTATATCAAGGGTGTAATATACTCCATTGCCGGAACCGAGAATAGGTCTTTGATTTACATCTAATTGAAAGACGAGACTTTTCGTAGGATTGAAAATAGGTTGAAATTAATCTGGTACTTTCAAAGCGAAAGGTATAGGTATTTGAGAGAAGAGATTACAATCGATCGTTTTTTTTTTAGCTCCGGAGATGGAGTAGTTCCAATTACCAAGTGGAGGCGAGAATAGAGTGAAAATTGCCTGATATCTCCAAGGACGATAAGTATATGATCGGAAAGCAAACAAAGCATCTAATCCATGTCTAATAGATGCCAGGGACAAGATTTAACAAATGCTAGAAGCACAAGAGGAAACAGTCAATCCATTTGGTAGTTCCAAAACAAAATTGTTCGAATTATTGAGCAATGCAAGAAAAGAGGAAGGAATTATCTAGTACGTCCCAAAGACGATCTTGTGAATGCTGAGTAAGAAATTATAAATTAACTTGATTTTTGCTAGAGCGACGAGACCTCATGATGATAGTAGGTATTTTCCAGAAAATGCGGATCCGAGCTTATCAGAAGTACAATAACACAGTAGGAATTTTCTAAGAAGGATTCTTCTAGACGGAATTGGAGTGATCTTGCGCGTTATGTGCCATGTGAAGAGAACCTAATTTTTCGCTAAAGCCCTACTTGATACTAGATGTCTCACAAAGACCAAATCCGCACGAAGAATCACCCACGGTTCCCTCCTTAGATACCTTGGGACCGTCTTTTAGCCTTATTGGGAGCAGAAGATCGGTGTGGTTTGTCGATTGAAAAGGAGGTAGAGAGGAAATGCACGACTCGTATGGACGCGATTATGACAAGAAAGAAAACGAGACGAGAATTGGTACCGTGTGGTTTTAATCCATGGCCAGTAAGGCAAATTTGAGGATTAAGTTGAGGGAATGGCCGATCTGGGGAAGCGAGAAGGTGAGAATTATTTGTTTAAATAGCTCAACTGATTGTTTGTTTTAAACTGGGACACAGCTTTCTCATTCAACTGGAAACGCCGTTGCTGAAGGGCTACCCTAAACTCGTCGGCATCTATCCCCATGTTGCGGGCCTCTCCTGCAGTGGGCTCCTTGTACCCTCCCATTAAAATATCATCCCCGCAAAGAGAATATCGTTAAAAAGGTCTTTGAGGAGTAGGTCCGGGTTAAAAAGGGGAGGTTCCGACCCAGCTCGGCGGCACGCGCCCACTACCTTGAATCCGGAGCGTCACCCCTCTGCTCCGTATGCTCTACGAATTTATCCCAAATATGTCCAACCAGCTGTATGATAGTGGTTTAAGATATAAGGAGCCGAAGAAACGCCCGTATAAATAGCTAGCTCAGTGGGTTCTGGTGCTCAAAGACCGGAATTGCTAGATGGCAGAACGGATACTATTCGTCCCACGATCCCGCTGGCGTCATTTCCCATTCATAACCCATTCTGGTTGTCTATTTAGTAGGACTCGTATTATATTTGTGAGTGGGAAATAATAGATAGGGAACTAGTGTTTATTAAAGTATAAACTGGAGATGCCGGTGCGTAAAATCGATTGATTTAGACAGATATTCGGTTTTGCGTGATTAACAGAGCTCAATTACAACAGATTTACGGGGAAATACTAATAGCATATAAAGTTCTCTTCAGATCTACAAGCCGCGTACCCGCATGACTAGAGCGCTTTTTTGCTCACGATCGAGGCTCATGAACATGGATCCTCCTCCTGCCTTAGCTAATCAGGCTTCATTAATATGGGCTGTCTGTTCTAGCTTTATTGTTTCAAGACTGTGAGTCCCTTTTATTTTCAGTGCAATTGGCTAAATTACTGTCTTCTGACAACTTTCCTAGTTCATTCTATGCTCTAGAAATCTTTTTGTAAGTCTTAGTTGCTAAATGCCATTGAGAGGTCTCATATTACGCGACGGGGAAACAACTCCACTTTTTGTTTTTTTCTTGAGTAAGTTTGAGCTCCCCTCACCAATTTTGGAACACCTCAACACTTTCATATATTCTTGTCAAAGCAGTTAGTCAATAACTGAATACAAAATTCTAGTCAACTTCACCTTTTCTTTTCTTGAGTACTACCAAAAGACATTTTCACAAATAATCAAATGTTAATATTATGAGGACGGATAGTTGGGTTGCTTATACGTATTGCAGATTATGACAGTGTAAGCGAAAGTCATTGAATGAGCTTGTAACATTAGGGTTCGATGGATGAGAAATTGGGCATAGGCTTTCCGGAATATAACCGTAACTTTATCGTATCTTCAGAAAGTGCGATATTACTGTCATAACAGTAGAATTAAACTAATAAGCAGGCGCAGTTATCCTTGATTGATTTTTATACAAAGGAGATGCAGTGGAGTGACGTGAATGACAGAAATCGACAAAATATTGCCAATTCTGGGGCATGAGAGTTAGATAAATCCACCCAAGTCTTATGTCGGGAGCTTCCAGAACCATCTCTGTCTCCATCGAGGGTATAAGTCTACCCATACCACCGAATATCCTTTTATTCATCAATCAAGCAGATTTTCGAAAGTAACACAGCGCAACTGGGATGAAATTACACATCAGCGCTTGAGGTGGGTTTTCCATAATACAGCTTGCCAGACAGAATATTTTACGAGATGCTAGTTCTAGCCTCACTAATTCCGGATATTCATCTTCCTTGCCTGAATTTTGTATTGTTTGTGTACTCTTTTCATCTAAGGAGCATGAGAGCAGAAGCTCTCCTTCGCGCTACGGTAGTATACTCACTCTAAAGATCTTATATTAAGCGAGACGAAGCTTAAGCTTAAGCTTAAGTATATATGGGCCTTTGCTTCTAGATTCTCTGCCTCTTGTATCTTGTGTTTTGTAGCAGTCGATCCAAATACCCGATTAGCACAAAGAAAAAATATAATTACATTGTTCTCGAAGCGTCCAAAGAGGACATGGGAGACAAAGAATTGAGGTATCTTTGGCTCATTGCATCTAGTTGATCTTCGATATCAAAATCGCTCGCAGAAGGAAATCCCCCAACTTCATTCCTCGAGAAGCAATGATTCACTGTGAGTCCTGCAAGCATTAATTACTATTCCAGAATCATATCATTGGCATCGATAAAAAGAACCAACAGGTTAGCAGGTAAATGATTCGTCCTTAAGACATCGCATACGGGTTTGGATAGCACCACTTGATGCATGCACACCTAAACCTCATACTGGCAATATTTGAGCCCCATCGTAAGTGCGGAAGTATGAATTCTCGATCTTCTTGAGTTACAGTAGAAATAGTTCAGAATTTCCAGAAAGAATTGATGGGATTCATCTGAAGAGCCATGCACCATGGAATGATGTTTGTCGCGCAAAGTTATAAGAACTGGAAGATTCACCCTAAGTGAGAATGGGGGTGAATCTTGCTTTGCTGAATTCAATTGATAGTGGTAATGGATGGCGTGACCAGTAGAGCTTAAAGATTAAAGTTGGGCGCAACAGAAGAATGGATGGTGATGGTTCGAGGTTTAAGGCACCAAATGCTCAACCAAAACCACAAATTACACCATCATGGCCAGAAATTGGCCGTAGATAAGATCAAAACGGTATTCAAATCGCTCGAAAACTGTACTGTATACTTTAATGATTATTTCTTGCATAAGAGGTAACGATGAAGTCAAAAATACCCAGAAGCCATCAGGAACAAGAAAGCATTTTTCCAGCTCAAGCATTATGCTTGCCATCATCAAATATGTATACACGAGAGGTATTCTGCCTACATAATCTCCAAATACACACGTGCCTACAGCCAACGAGTTGTAGCCTTGCATGGTGCATATGATCAAGCCTTCTGATCAGCCTGTGTGCTTTGGCTCCTCGATTGATTCCCGTTCCTCGTAAGGTCTTGGTCGAGCGCAAGGAATATTCTTTTTCGTCTTTTTTATATTTTTGAAGCTCATTTCACTGCTGTATGTGTGGATTTGTTGATTAGTATTTTGTTTTTGTCGCGTTGCTGCTTTTGATGCTTTTGATATTGTGGATTAAGCGAGGATGGTGAGGTGAGTGAATGTAGTGAGGTGAATTGTTGAGGGGAATTACCGAGATCTCTTGGACTACCTATGCTCTTAAGCTACTCAGTGCTTATATGGTAGCTTTGCTACTAAGGTCGAGGTGAGGAAATGCATGGAAGGTGTTTTTCATACATTCTTTATGTTTTGCTAGGTACATTGCTTTGATGCCCTTTCTAGACAGAGAAACATTTGGTAGGCAGTCATATCGCTAAGCTAATAAGTTAGCTACATTGTAACATTAGTTAAGTAGAGTCATGATCATAATGTAGAAGAAGAGGCTTTTGCTCGTAGGTGTGACAAAAAAAAGAAACTTCAAGTTCAACTTTTTTGAAGTAAGACGAATTGAACTTTCATCCGACACGCTCACGGTAGGACGTATTAAGGCTAAAGAGCCGAGACCTATGAAGCGCTGAAAGAGCCTTGTGTCTTTCACACTCCGAGATACATGTACTACCACCAGATTACCTTTCGATATTCATTCATTTGATGAGTGCAATATTCTTATGAAGTTTTTTATTGTGATTTTTGGGCAATATTTAGATATCTGGAAGGAACTGGAGTGGATTGTGGGTTAGGATGAAAAGAGCATTGAAACTGCCAAGCAGGAATGAAGAAACAAAGGGGGATTGTAAGTGAAACCTAACACAACCTCCCTCCCATCCCACACTTCGACTTCCCCCCCCCCCCCAAAAACCATACTTTCCCACAAACTCAGAAACAAAAATAACCAGAACCCTACTCAACAAAAAAACAACGGAGATGATGAGAATCGAACTCATGTCTCGTACATTCTAAGAAGTTGATATCTGCCATCGATCGACGACGTTTCCTTCGAGTGACAAGTTCGAACGAGGTGATATGCTCTAAATGTGCATGTTCTACTACTGAACTACATCTCCTGTTTTGTTGTGTTTAGAGAGTGTTTTTCAGGAGTTATGCTTTGTGGAGTTGCTGATTCGGGTTTCTTGTGTAGTGTGGTTGTAACATGGTTATTTGGGTTGGTCACACAGTGAGCCTGAGGCTTGTGAGACGGAAAGGGAGTGTTGAGGTTGGACGAGGGAAGAAAAGTAGTAGACGAAAGAGAGAATCTGGAATGCAATGATTAGTTTGTGTAAATTGGCAGTGGATCGTGTTACGGCTCTAGCCCCTGATGTCAACTCAACAGCTTTTGCCCTTCAAAAGCGGTTATCCCCTCACTTCCACTCCAGCAAGAGGTAGTGAGGTTCGAACTCATGGATCCCACAATCATGGTAGGAAATTCCAGTTCTAGTCCGAAGAACCCTTTAAAAGTCAACAGTACCGCTCATTCCTATCTCCTTTTAATTTTACATGATCAACTGGAGACACAGAAAGAGATTGATCAAACCTTGACGCACGTTTTCTGCAACTAAACTATTAGCCCCACCTCCTCTGTTTATTTTCATAAAATTATCTTTATCAAAAATCAATTGCAAAGACTAAATTCCGCAGTAATTGGTGCGAGCAGTTTGTTCCTGTGTCCGGTTAACCCGAACCAAAAGATATTTGTTTGAGACGAGGACTTTTGAGCACATTTAACCCTTGAGTTGTGCTGGGAATTCAAATATATATTTTTCATCTATGGTAGCGATAAATTCCTGGAAAACTATCTCGAACTGGTAAAGCTTAGAACGATGCTCGTTTTCCTAGCTTACTGCTCCCAAATTAGAATACTTGATATTCCGTGGTGAGATGGGTGGGAAGATTTAAACAGAAGGTATTGCGATGAAGGGGTGGATTTTGTGTAATCTAAAGGATGGCTAGTATTCACAGATTGTTACACTTTAATGGGGTACAAAAAGTAATGGTGATTTGAAGGAAGTAATAACAGGTTCTTCTACCGAAACTTAAATAATCATAAAAAGACACTTGTAGATTGATGAAAAAGGCATCGGAAAAATTCTTCGTTTTCGTTTAAACTAGTCGAAATGAAGACAAACATGGATCAATTATATATTTGAGTATCTTTTCATCCTTGTGAACTACTTGTCCTCCCAGTTGAGATAATAACATAACCATCAATGAATCATGCTCGACTCATCTCACCGACGACCGTGCCCCCTTGACCATCTGCGAGCTATCTGACGACCCCAAAATTATTTCCTCCAACTCGACATCCTCACGGCGTTGCTGCAGCTCACTATAGCTTCCATATAAACACGCTCTTTCACTCTTTGCCCTTCGGGTTAACTCAGCCATCGTCTCTGCGCCTCTAAACGTCTGGCCTATCACAAGGCCTCTAGAAAGAACTGCAAGAGAGCTCGACTTCCATGCGGGCGTTCCTCGCATTCTGGTCTGATATATTGTGAGAGCGACGAAAACAGTTGCGGCAATAATGAAAAAACAATGTAGGGATATCCATTCCCATTCGATTTTATAAAAAGTGACTACTTCGTAGTTTATGCCAGCTTGTGCCTTTTGACCGTCGTCGTTAGCACGGATGGAGTTGCTCATGCTTTTTGCAAGAGACGCAAATGTAGCTGGAAGGTCATTGCTCGTGTTGAAAGCTTGCATAGAGCTGGGTTTGTATTGGAGATTACCATCAGACATGATGTAACCATTTAATCTTGCTTGTTGAGTTGCAGTAACATTGTGGGTTATGTTGATGCTTGTAGAAAACAAATCGCTGACATAACTACTAATGCTGTTGACAGCAGTCTGTGAGACATTGTACTTTCCGCCCAGAGAAAGATCGGATCGAGGCGCGGCGGACAATTTATTGTTGAACTCTAGACTCGAAACAATGGATGAATTAAGAACAGCAGCCCATCTCGAGCTTGTGACCTGCCATGAATCCGGATCTCGCGTTGCACTCGTTACTTCAGAAACTTCTTCAGATAGAGTTCCCGACAAGACAGACGAATTATAACTATTGACACAATAGTATAAGCCACATTCTCGTGCCTCCAGAGGTAGATTCGGCCAGACAGCTGACGTATTTTGTGGAGGATGTACTTTGAGAAAGGTCACAGCCCAGATCAAAGTATCAACATCTTGTAGCGACACCGTCTCGCTAACATTGCCTGTCCCATATGTCGTCATGAAAATACCGCCGGGAAGTTTGAGAGATACATATTTATCGGTGTAATTCCAGCCATCAAAACCATCAATAAAAAGGCCGTTGGGAAGTCGGAATGCAGTACCCATTTCTAATATTCCAACACCGTTATCAGTTTGTAGGTCTGTGTAGAGAACATTGTAATCTCTGTATTCAACTACTTTATCGCTGAGGTCGTTGCAGACAGAACAAACCGAGAGGGATTCAAACGCATCCCAGGTACAATTTCCTGATGCGCACTTGTGAGGAAGTTGCTGAGTGGTCATTTCAATAGGCTGCGTAAGACCGTATAGAACAGCGGCCTGCATGGTAAAATCAGCGTCCACAAACGCCTGCGCTATGGGTGGATCACCTGCTCCAGGTCAGCGGATTGAGGCTCATATTTGGCTTCGCGGGGATCGACTTACTTGACACCATGGTAAGTTGAGTATTGAATAGTCGACCCCTGGAATAACGATCTGATCTGGGGACACTGGGCATTTCTCCAATCTCGCGAGGGACAGAACGTTGCTGATATTGAACGAGCTGTTGTGTAAAAGGGTCGACTGCCAAAGCAAGTACAGTGGTGACAGCACCAATGCGTATTATGAGTCTATCCATGTGAGTATGGCTTTTCTATTGAGTACGTGACAAGGAAGTTCTCACTCCCGATTTCTCCTCCATAGCAGTTTGAAACTTCCCAATGGCCCGCGACTTGCCGCGTCAATCTTATCAAACTCTATCAGATAATTTTTCTGTTCTGAGAAGTGAAGCCATTTCCACTGACTGGTAGATTCAGCAATGGAATACAAAACAAGAACTTTAGCAGCAGTTGAAAGAATAGACACCAAGGCGTTGAGTGTGATGCCATGCCAGCGAAAAATGGTTTTACCATCGAAAGCATAAAGGAGTGCAGCGAGAGCTATAAAACATAATGTTCCTGTAGCAAGTGAAGCTAGCTCGCGTTTCCACACACGGAAGTTCCAAAAGAGCTCTTGCGACATCGAATCGAAAAATATACTGTTTCGAAAACAAAAGACTTTACACAAAAGAAAATTTGAGGAATGGATTCGTTAAATAATGCACTGCAGTGGGGGCAACTGCGCCTGCCGTGCTTATATAGAGCATCACTTCTCGCGGTGAATGATGGGGTGGTTGAGACGGATCCTACTATCGAGAACTCTTGGCATGAAGCTGACGTCCTTGTAAAACATACCGCTGGCAGAGATCTTTGCTTTATTAGCTGCTTCATCTACCTGCGAGCAATATCCCACTATCATCTATTGGACATGTGGTGTCAAGGCTCCTGAGCAATCCACCAACAAAATCTGCTACGGCAAATGAAATGCAATCCTGTAAGAGATCTGCAATCATGATTGAGCATCTTGTACGTACATTTTGTTTTGTGTTGTGTGGTGCAGAAGTCTGTTTGAGACCCGCATAGGCTTATATAATAAATCGCTTTTTAACCTTAATTAATCTTAAATATAGATCAGCCTCACAAATCTAGGTTGGCAGCGACTCTTTTGTAGACATGCTAAAAATAAACTTCAAGGCGAAAAGATCATAGTATTTCATGAAAACATGAAAAATGGTAAAAATGGAGGTAGTTCTAAAATGTCTAACATTTCATTCATTCATTCATTTATTCCATAGTACTTCTAACCGCCAATCTTTTGATATCATTTCGTCATTTCCTCCATTTGCATCGTTTCAGAACCTCATTTCGATTTTCCAGTAGGGATACCAAACATCACCGCTGGCTTTCCATCCTTAGCCGCTTTGTCAACCCTGAAATATCCCTTTCTCTCCAATTGAATAATGTCATCCTCCTTGAGATCAGCCACGTTGCTGTCACATAATTGGTCCGTCTTATGGGCAGAATCCGGGGTAAGGAAATCCTCCCAATTGTCATCTTCCTCCAATTTATCTTTGGTGATCATGTAGTCGAACTCGTAAACTTCAGCTGGAATGAGAGTTTGGTCAGAGGATAACCAAGTGACTTTCTTTTCGGTTTTCTTAACATCACCCTCTAAGTGCAACTCCAGCTCAATATCTGTGATTGGGCCAGAGCCATTAATTTTGCGTACAAATGCATTACCCCAGTTCATGAGAGTAATTTCTTCGCCTTCCTTAAACAGCTTGACATCCTCTTGGTCAAGAATGAGATTCTTGCTGTAGGTAACTTTCTTCATGCCAACCTGCGGGTTTTTGCCATGCTTAGGCTTGTCTTCGGTATATGGTGTCTCAGGACCATTTGTGACAACAGCCTTTACCTGATCCTTGATGTCAACACCTGTATGCCTTGGCGCAATTGGGTCGATCTCCTTCTTGTTTGAAGCCCAGAAATTGGTCCAGTCCATGGTTACAATATTTCGACTTGGTCCCTGCTTCAAGATAAAATCTCTCAAAGCAGGAATGGTCATACCTCTTCGTCGAACACCACGGATTGTTGGCATACGAGGATCATCCCAGCCCCAAACTCTTCCAGCATCAACCATCTTGGCCAATTTACGTTTTGAGAGGAAGACGCGAACGAAGTTCATACGAGCAAACTCCCACATATGCACTGGAGTGAGGTTTAACTTGGTGATGAACCATTGATATTGGGGGTTTCTGTCGTTGTATTCCGTTGTTCTCAATGCGTGTGTAACTCCTTCGAGTGAATCCACAATTGGGCATGCGAAATCGTAGGTAGGATACATCTTCCATGTAGTTCCAGTGCGGTGATGAGGTAATGGCCCGCCGGTCTCGGGATCGTCATTGGGGCATCTGTAGATGACAGGATCGCGCATTGCCTTATTTGGGTTGTCCACAGACATCTTTGCTCGGATACAGAATTTCTTTCCTGCTTCCGTGCCATTCTTCATCTCCTCAAATATGGCGAGATTCTCCTCAACACTCTTGTCTCTGTTCTTACTCGCAATACCATCCATTCGCTGTTCTCTCATAGTCTGTTGATCTGTGTCATCTGCATAAGCGTCGCCCTGTTTGATAATTTTCAGACCATATTGATATAACTCCTCAAAGTAATCACTAGTATGGCTCTTCTTATCCGGCTTGACACCCATAAGTGCCAAATCCTCGATAATTGAATCTTGGAATTCTTGTTTTTCTTTCGAAGGGTTCGTGTCGTCGAATCGCAGGAGAAGTGTGCCTTTGTAGAGCTCGTGTGCGAAATAATCATTGAGAAGTGCGGCTTTTGCGTGTCCAATATGAAGATATCCACTAAAGAAAATTAGTAACATAACTTTGAGGTCTATAGAGCGCGGTGAGCATACGATGGCTCTGGTGGAAATCTAGTCACAACTCCTTTCTCAGTATTAGGTAAAGCTATGTTGTAGCTTGCTCCCGCCTTGCTAGCAGCTGTCTTCTTTGCCTTCTCCGCCTCATCCTTAAGCTTGATCTCCTCTTGGATTTCTGGATGTGTTTGCTCAATGAATTGATACCATCTGATAAGATTGACAGAGGCCCCCTTCTTTATGAAAGCAGCAGCAACTCTGTTTGTTCGAAGTGTGATCCATATTTTTGAGTCCAATTCCGTGATTGAGTACCCGTCAACATAGGAACGAAGGGTAAGATGCTTGTCCAAAGCGAGTAAATGTGGCTCGATAGCTTTGAAGTCTAGCGGAGCTAGATTCGTCGCTAGCTGTGATAATTCCTCGGTCTTCATTTTGTCAATATGGAGCAGTAAATTGTTTGGTCAAGTCTTGAGATAAATTCTGAGGATAGTGGGGAGTTTGTTGACTCAGGGCGGGGTGGTCCGGAAAAGGGTTCGACCGAGCACCGAGCGGAAGCTAATTTTTATGAATTGGCGCTAGTGATGGTGGATGATCTCGAATTACAAGCTGTTTTATCAAAAATTGAAAGTTTCTAGGCCTTGATCAATACAATATGGCAGCTCCAGGATTATGCCTCGCTCAGATGAGCAGGCTGTCTCTGTCTACAGCCCGACAAACCCTACTCCACACCCCAAAAGCCTCGATACCAATAGTCCAAGTCCGACACAAGGGCTTCAAAGAGAGGATTCTTTCCAAGAAGGAGAAGGCGGGCGTTCTCACCGGACCAACTAAGTCATTTTCGAAAAAGAAGACTACTGAAAAGAAGAAGAAGAAGCCGAGGACTACATATCGACAATATGATCCAAAAGATGCAGAAACATTCACATTGTGTGATGCCATGCGGTTAGTCCAGCCTTTCGCGTTCAATCGACAGGTTAACTCATGCAGTGTGTAGATATTTAAGAGCATTCGAGGTTGGAAGACCCCCTACTTCTTCTAAATACGAGATGCACCTGAAGTTGAAATCACTCAAGAACGGTCCGGTTGTACGAAATCGATTACGACTTCCACACCCAGTCAAAACCGATTTGAGGATATGCGTCATTTGCCCTCCAGATTCGAAATATGCGGAATCGGCAAAAGCGGCAGGAGCAACATTAGTCGGAGAAGAGGAAATTTTTGAAGCTGTGAAGGATGGCCGAATCGAGTTCGACCGATGTATCTGTCAAACGGATTCTCTGGCGAAAATGAACAAAGCTGGTTTAGGTAGAGTTTTGGGTCCTCGAGGACTTATGCCGAGCGCGAAGACGGGTACCGTTGTGAAAGACCCTAGTTTGGTTTTGAAGGATTTGATTGGAGGTGCTGAATATCGAGAACGTTTGGGTGTTGTAAGAATGGCAGTTGGCCAACTCGGTTTCACGCCAGAGGAAATGCAGCGAAATGTTAAGGCATTTATCGAGGCTGTGAAGAAGGACATGGCACAACTGAGTGACAAGATCAATAAAGAGCTGGTAGAGGTGGTTTTGAGCTCCACCAATGGTCCTGGATTCATTCTTAGCGGGGAGTTCAGAGATCTCAACTCGAGTCTGACCCCTCGAGATTTATCGACTTCATCATAACATCACATATCATGACATGCACATTTGTACTTTAACTGTATAATGAAGACTCATTCCATTAGCTGGGTATATTCCTATAAACTCCTGAAGCTACAAAATACATCATTCAATTGTTATGTGGATTTAACGCCTCTCAATATCTTGACCGCTTCATCGCCAGCTCCCAAATCACGGTATATGCCCATGATTTTGACCAATCGCGGTCTGCCTTCTTCTGTTAGAGACATTGCATGCTTTAAAGCAGTATTTAAATCCAGAATAATGGTGTTTTTCAGCCGCAATAATCGAGGTTGCTGGGCTGCAATGAAGGGATGATCTAACCCAACTGTGGTTGACAAATGCTCAATGTTACGATAGTCTAGCACAAGTCTTTGTAGCTTCCTCGTACTTGTTCCGTTGACAAGTCCATCAATAGCCAATCCGTCCTCATCCTCATCCTCATCTTCATCTTCACTCCAAGAATCTTCAAGCCCGTTTGGTGACCGACCGAGCGACGCAACCATTAACCTATCCTCCAACTCTTCAAGTCGTGAATCAACCTCGAGCAATTTTCTTCCCAAAGCTATGTCCTTACTAACACTTTTCTTCTCGCCAAGAAGACCTTCAACTTCCAATTTCCTTTCTCTGACCTTCCCTCTCACATCCTCAACGCCTCTTTTAAAACTTAACAGCCCCACCCTAACATCTTCAACCTTCTCTTCTCCACCCTTAAGGTCCGAGCCCAAGCTCAGAAATTGTTCATAATTGGTATTCACCAGATCCAATAGTTCTTTTGAGAGAGCCTGTGAACGCTCGCGAAGATCGGAACGTAAATCCTCGAGGGTCTGGTGACGATCTGATAAAGTCGATAGATAAGTCGGTGCATCGAAAGTTGGAGCCAGAAAATCGCTTCGGGGAAGTGCTTCGGGATATGGGAGATTGTCCTCATCGTCTGAGGAAACATCACCCGATCCTCCACCAAAATAGAATTTACTCATATTTGATGACTGAAAGAGATTTTCGAATCAATAGAATGAGAAACAGGACAGAACCACTGCTGAACACGGTTTTTCTTATGTAAGCTTCGATATCTCCTTTTGGAATTCTGTCCTTTCCCTTTGGTATTTTTGTAGTTGTTACTGCCGTGTTCATACACCCTCCCTAAGCCGTTCCTTCGGAACAACTCTTCCTTAAGGCTGGTCAGGCATTCACGAGTAGAATGTCGGTCGGAAGTTACATAACAGGACCCAGACAACGAACGCAAGCTCTGGTCAATCAAGCCCAAATCCTAGGACAACAACCGAGGGTAGGAAAAATCGTTGATGAAAGATCCTTCCTTTTATCTCTTGGCGTGAAGGAATTTTAAGTGTGATGGAGGTTATGATTGGATATCTCCCTTCAATTGACAATTCAAAATATATGTCAGGTTAGAGAGAGTTGAGAAGAGGTTAGGAGGGCAATCAACAATTCACCTGATGCCTGCAAAATAGGACATCGGAAATCAACAGAGCCGATTTTCGGAAAGTAAGCGTGCGTCAACTCTTACAATGATGACACTAGTTTTCACGCTAATTTTTATCAATCTAATCTTTTTGATCTCTCAGTTCCTCCCTTCCCCCCTCCCTTTCTCTTTCTAATCTGATTTCACAAACACACCTCATTCGTCCTTTTTCTGGTAACAATTGCTTGATATTTGCCACAAAGTTCCTCAGGATTATCATTTTACATTTGATGAGTAACGACTTCAATTCTTCCCATCTTCCCTAGCAACAGAGTCAATTACATCCAAGTACATTTTTCATAAAGGGATTTGTTTGTGTGTCAAGTTCAAAAAAGGTCGGGTCTCAGAGCGTTTACTTCATATCTCGTGATCTTCCGTTCCTGCGGTGGTTGAAAGAAAATTCGCCAATCGGTTATTCATTGACCCGGAGCCATGGCTTCACCCACTGTATCAACACCATCATCGGCTAGTTCACCAGCAGCTCTTGCGCCCGCTCCTCCAGTTCTCGCCATCAAAACCCAAAATTTATCAATTATGAGCGCCATGGCGTCAGCATCCGGGGCTTCTACCCCCACTATCATGACAACGAAGGAATGGGTTATTCCGCCACGACCGAAGCCTGGACGAAAGCCTGCAACTGACACCCCACCAACAAAGAGGAAGGCTCAAAATAGGGCCGCTCAACGTGCTTTCAGAGAACGACGGGCTGCGCGAGTAGGTGAATTAGAGGAACAGCTTGAAGAGGCAAAGGAAGATCAACAAAGGCGTGAGAATGATATGCGATTGAAAATTACTAGACTTGAGGCAGAGGTTACCCGATTCAATGGCGAACTTCAATCATGGAGATTACGATGCGAGACTCTTGATCGAATTGCAGAATACGAAAAGAGGGAGAAGGAAGCTGCATTCAAGGAACTGGCATATCTCAGAAACGGATTCCAAAGCACAAGCACTGATGCTGTTCCGCTACCACCCCGCAGGAACCGGCAGTCGACGCAAACCTTACCCACTCTGCCACAACAACAACAACAACAACAACAGAGCCCTTTTGTTCTAGAACTTGAGATACCAAGTGAAATCGGATGTGGCGGATGCAAGTCTACAAATGAGTGTGCTTGTGTTGAACAAGTAATTGCTATGTCTACTCAAGGTTGTGGCAATTGCGGCCCTGATACTCATTGCCAGTGCTTAGAGGAATCGCTTAAGGATGCTAGCACGGATTTGAAGAGAGCACATTCTCCTACAATTGATGCTACTTTAGAAAAACGTGCTCGTTTGTCGTCTAGGCCTTCTACTCCTCTCGAGATTGACTTTACTGCCCAGTTCTCAAGACGACAACCAGTCATCCGTGAGCCATCACTTCCACCTCAGATCCTGACACGGCCTGTTGAACCATGTGGTTTCTGTGATCAAGCAACATTTTGCCCATGTGCTGAAAGGGAGCTCGAGAATCGTCTTGCACCTCTACTGAATGAAGTCACACCTCCACCATCAGATACAGATATTGAAAACACACAGGTTAAACTTCCATCTATGCAACCTAATCATATGCATCGTCCAGTCCCTACTGCAACAACTTCCAATTCCTGCGCCAATGGCCCTGGTACTTGCAAACAATGTATGAGTGATCCTAAGGCGGGATTATTCTGTCGATCACTTGCAGCAATGAGAGCTTCTTCAAATTCAGCTCCACCAGATGGATGCTGTGGAGGTAATTCTTCTGGTGGTGGCTGTTGCAAGACAATGGAACCGGCATCTTCATCAGAACCACCCCCAAGTTTATCTGTCGCTGACACCTACAAAACTCTTTCTACCCATAAGAATTTCGATCAAGCTAGTGATGAGTTGAATACGTGGTTGGGTCGTCTTCATGCTACACCGCTCCAACACGCCGGTAGAGCACCCATGGAAGTGGAGGCTGCAAGTGTTATGGGTGTACTTAAACTCTTTGACCGAAGATTTGGGAGAGGTTGAAGACGATGTTAGGTTTTACTGAAGATACCCGATTAATCACGACTCATTAAGATGAATGAGTTCATGTTTTGTTTTCTTGTACATATTTATCAGTCTGTGTATGCATAAGCATCAAACAAAAGCATAAGCGATTTGACATTTTTGGAATTCATAATACCCAGCACAAGCTTGTATGTACATATCTAGCCAGACGTAGCCAATCCAACGTTTCCACATGTAATCCTACAAATGACAGTTAAGAAATATTCATCAAAATATCCACATCTCTTGGCGGTCAATTGCCCTTACCCGGAAAGGCAGGTGACCAACATCCAAAAAGCCGTTCCTGGGGAACTCCGATACCAGTTATCTTTTTCCACCCAAAACCTGCCCCACGTGTGAAGATTTATCGAGAGGGGTCGTTGCACTGCATCATGTTCCTGGCCTGCCTTTCTTTTCTATTGATAAGCTACCATCTTTATTACTTTTGACTTTATACAATACCAGGCCCGGTAAGACTTCCCATTCGGTACTTATATGCATGAGTGATGCGACCGAGGTGAGCTAAAAGTCGACCCAAGTCGGGTCGACTTTTTTTTTGGTTTACTTTAAGTTGAGATCTTGTGGTCGAGATTCTTGTATTTTTCATTTATTTTGCTTCTATTTTTTTGGATCTCGATTTCTCCAAAAGTCGTGAAGATGCAGAATCTTAAAATCACTACCCTTCTCGCCCCTCTATTTCTCCAAGGCGTACAAGCCTCATTATATGGAGAAAGTAGTCTCAACCACACCTGCGAATTGAGTAAGTACTCATTGCCCTTTCACAATCGCATCGACAAGCACCTAACATAAAATAAGAAACACCCTATCTTTCCTGTTCCAAAAATGCCACTCCGGATCTGACTGATTCCTGCTGTACGGAAACATTCGGCGGTCTACTCCTCAGCACCCAGTTTTGGGATACATATACGGGGCGCGAAGCAGAGGGTCAATTGTTACCTCAGAATTCGTGGACATTGCATGGGCTTTGGCCGGATTTTTGTAATGGCTCTTATACGCAGTATTGTGATTTGAGGTTTGTTGTTCCTATGCTGATTTCGAAATTGTGCGGCTGTGGGACTAAAGCTCGAGATATCTAGTCGCCAATATGATCCTGAGCCTTCTCCTAATACCACGACTGGGACGTCGAGCGGTACTCCCGTGCCTCCTTATACCGGAAAACCTATTTCAGATATTATTCAGCAATATGGAAAATATGATCTCCTCGCCTACATGAACAAGTACGTATAATCAGCGCTCTCGCTCCTCCGCGCGAAACTAACCTTCAAAACCTAGATACTGGATCGCGCAATTAACACCCAACTGGCACCTCTGGGCGCACGAATTCTCCAAACACGCCACCTGCTTCTCCACCTTCGATACCCCCTGCTACGGACCCCTCTTTAACCAAACTCCCCACGCAGACCTCATCTCCTTCTACACCACCGCTCTCTCCTACTACTCTACACTGCCCACGCACACTTTCCTCTCTAGACACCACATCGTCCCCTCAAATACAACTACATATACACTATCCGCCTTGCAGTCAGCGTTGAAGAAAGAAACTGGCGCAGTACCATATATTGGATGCTCGGGGCCGAAATTCAATGCTACGGCGGAGGGGAAGGGGAGTTTGGATGATGGTCATACGGTGCTTAATGAGGTGTGGTATTATTTTTATGTGTTGGGTCATGTGCAGGATGGGAGGAAGGTACCGGTGGGTGCGGATGTTAATGGGGGGAGTGTTAGTAGTTGTGCTACTGCGAAGGGGGCGTTGAGGTATTTGGAGCGGAGTGAGGGGTCTGTGAGAGAGGGGAGTGGAAAGTATGGGTTAGAGGGGGTTTTGGGATCGTGATGATATAATGTGATGTGATTTAGGGAGATTGTATATATGTATAGCATAGTATAGGATAGGATAGTATATAAATTAAAATACATAGAGGAATTTTAATTTCACATTCCTAAATATTATTCCCAATCCCAGGTTCAATCCCTTCCAACGCCTCCATAACCTCAGTATAAACCCTCACCTGAGCACTCCTCCCCTCCTCACTCCGTACATACCTACTCGGCTCACTAACCCCACAATCAACCATATACATCCCATGACTTTCCCTCCCCGCCGCCGCCGCAGCAAGCAACGTCCTACTACCCACCTCTGTCGTTCTCGCCAACAACGACTTTCCAATCCACGCAAAAATATTCAAAGGAAATACAGCATGTCGCATTAGTTCAGAGTGGCAAAATCCGGGCGTAAGTGTATTGAGTATTATTTGTGGCTTTTTGGATTTGGAAAGTCGAGGCGCGAGTTCGCGGATCAGTAGGATTTCGAGGAGTTTGGAGACGTTGTAGCGGTCGGGTTGGTGGTTGGGGTTTTTGAGAGCTGGGAGGATGGAGGGGGAGGATTGTTCTTTGAAGAGGGCCTAGAGGGGGTTTGGGGGTTAGATTTCGGGTGTGTTTGTGGGTTGGTTTTATAAGAAGGGTAGGATTTTAGATAACATGGTTATAATTCCTGGCAACTTGAATGTAGAGCATCCCATCGAGGATGAGAAGGGAAGAAATCTTACCTGTTCATGGGCATCACTAGCCACAATCGTCAATCTAGGCACTATATCAAATTTCGCAGCACTCTCCCTCAATTTCGGCAATACCAGTAATGCCATTAAAAAAGTACTCATGACATTAACCGTAACTGTACTTTCCATATCCTCAAATTCCTCATATTTCGGTACTGCCAATCCTGCATTCTCAAGCATTACATCTAACCTATCCAGCTGGTTTACTCTGGCGCAAAATTCTTTGACCGATGCATAGGATGTCAGATCTATCTGCCATACTTCGATAATGGTTTTATGATCTGGGAGAGAGCTTTTGATAGACGCAATTGCAGCTTCGCCTTTGGAAAGACTACGGCAGGCGAGGATTACTCGTGTAGCGTTCAGGCGCACGATGTGTCGAGCGGCTTCGAGACCGAGACCTGTGTTTGCGCCTGTTATGATTACTGTTTGGCCCGCAAACGAGGTATCTGGATATGGAAGATTTTTGAATTGTGATTTTAAGAAGCGGCCGAGGAAATCGGTAGGACTGAGAGGGAGAGACGTTAGGATGTAGAGCTCGAATAAACGAGGAGATGAAGGGGGTTTGTTTAACTTACAGATTGAAATGTCCAAGTAAATTAGGCATAATTAAGATATTCCATGTTAATGACTCTAGCAGATTAGTATATGAGAATGAAGCAAAGGATATATATATAGCAATATTTCGAACACATTTCGATGTTGAAGATCAATCAAATATCCCTCAAGCTATGAAACCATAGTGAAAAGGCTCAAACACATCCTCCTTTAAACGTCAACACCCGTCTGAAGAGAAGGTCCGAGACCCAACTAACTTTCCACGATCCACGTGCAAAAGTAGCTTCACCTCAACCTCACATTATGAAAATTCTAAAAACCGACACTAATTCCCCATTTACACTTCAACCGAACCTCGAGTCGTTTTTTTCCTCATATAAATTGAATTTTTGAGAATGAGACGATTCTATATCTGTCGAAAAATTTGAGTTAGATGAATTTTTCAAAAATGGAAATTTTGCGCGGTTTTTATGAGATGTGCAACAAATGGTTTTGGGTTTGGGGGGTTTTGGTGCGAGGGAGTGTCGGAATTTTGTCGCTTAAGCTAAACATATAAAATTCAAGATGACGACTAATGTAGCAATCAATCATTGATTAAATGGAGTTTGAAGTGGAACTATGCTTCTTTTCTGGTTGTGAATGTATGATATTGGTGTGGAAAGTTCCAACTCCGGTACTGAGGTTGCAAATTGGCAAATTTGCGATGTCAATGATATCTTATACCGTTGCTCATAACGGAAAGAGTGTATTTTTTGCATGAACACCGACTTTAGGAACATGAAAGAGCAATCTGAAGGAGTAGACTAAAAACGGTTGGTTGCCCGCGCGGAATCGTGGAGCAATAGGGGTACATTTTAATGGAAGACTCCCTTCACTGACACCAATATACCCCAACACCAAACCAAGCCAGATCGGACCATTCCAGAAAAAGGGAAAGAATGAGAGGTAAAAGTAGTCCAAGGCACTTCACCAGCAAGCCCAGCGCCATACATCTACTGCGAGTGTATAAATACCCTCCCCCAACCACCGAATGAAGGATTGGAGAGCCCGCTTACATTTGTCATTTTGTCATTACTGCGCACCACTATGCTCACTGGAGTGGCCTCCCCTATTTCTATGCGGATGAGGTCTCGTTTGGGGATTAAATGTTCTACTATATGAGTTGAAAAGAAATTGTGAAGCAGAGCCGACTTTGGTGTTTTGGGGCATGGATGAAAGACTGTCAAAATGATGAAGAGATGGCAGGAGGTTGATATATTGGTATACTTGAAATTGAGTAGTGATTAGCTGGTTGCTTCTACGTTGTGAACTTGTGTTTATGAAGCGTGGCTTCGAGTGGGATAGAGACTTAAGAATTATATTCATGCTCGAGGTAATACGATTGTATTTCTCCTACTGATCATGGTTCGTTGTTTAGGTTCGAATGATACCCCGTTTGTCACTTTGTATGGAGGTTGTGGGATGGGAACAAGTGGATGTGATTTTATGTGATAACTTCATGAAATTGAAGAATGTGAAGATGGAGGTAGCTTGGTTGAAGTGTTTCTTAAAATTTTGTGTCGTTCACTATCATATGCTGGACTCAATGGTAAATGAGTGGAACGGTTAGAGGAGCCTATATTTTGAGGAATAGCTAGTTGTCAGAATCGATGTGGAGGCCTAGGTAATACGATAGAATGTTGATGGGAGATGGCGAGGGGTGGGATTTGAGATCGTAGATAGTAGACGGTAAGGAAATAGAGAAGCTAGGAAGGTCGGGTGCACATGGTCCTGCACGAATAACACAGATGTTAGGAAGTATAGGTCGATGATTTCAAGGTTCTTGTTCCGTATACACACCTCTTTCCAACCTGTGTTTGATTGTACCAGATTCTTTTTGTAGAATCAAATGACAGATTGATTGCTTACTATGGGTGACTTTGTGTGTATTCTTTGTGGAGTGAACATGCATATCTCCAGCTGACACAAATGTCTCGCCCTAGCCCTTTTCATAGGCATCTCCGCATGCATTATGGCTTAACAAGCTTGGGATTTAGTTTGACTGAATCAACAAGTCCCGATTTAGTACATACTGCTAAAGATTTTTGTTATCAGAAGAACTACTCATGGTAAAAGGTTTATAGCACTGCTTTGCGAGTGCCGAAAAGATCTCAGGTCCGTCTAATTTCTAAGCATGATGACCTAGAGTATGATTTAATATTCCTTCAGAGAACCCGTGCCCATTATATTTATCTTCAAAACTCATGAGAATGACATGTCTACTTAGATCTGATAATAGACCAAAAGCTATAAGTAGGTACTGTGCCCAGGAGTGTAGCAATGATGCACCAGAATTGGTTCAACGCGGGATAAGAAATCCTTTTCTTGAGACAGCGCTGTTCATTTAGTTAGCCCAAGGGTCTCCAGATTCCCTTTTCTCATTTTATAAGGCTATGATGTGAATGCGATGATATCTCAAATCTTCGCTGTCTACGGTGTTAGTTTCGTATACAGTCAGCCAAATATTCGAGATGTTGATCAGCCCGAATGAACCTCGGTCCAAAGGTCAAGCATGCACCACCTCAAAGTAGCATCTTAACTTGAAGTACTTATTAGGTACCTATTGAGATATAACAAACATTGCCATCCGAAAAATACAATTTTATTTAAGAATAATACTTTAATTTAGCGCTTTTACTATGACAGGTCCACCACCATTGACAGGAATTCGCGTCCTCGAATTTGCAGGTCTAGCTCCAGGTAGCTACCCCGCACTTACTGTAGCTCTTCCCCTTAACATCAATTCACAGGACCTTTCGCCGGACTTCTTTTGGCAGATTATGGCGCATCAGTCCTTCGTATTGATCGCGCAATTCCCAATCTCACCCATACATCCTCAATTCCTCCTCCTACGGCCGATCTCCTCACTCGACACAAATCCTCTATTGCAGTCGACCTCAAATCATCTGCTGGGATATCCTTCATCAAGTCCCTCGTAGCCCATTGCGATGTGATAATCGATCCATTCCGACCTGGAGTTTTGGAGAAATTGGGACTTTCACCCGATGTTCTTCTACAACTCAATCCACGCCTTATTCTTGCCCGAATGACGGGTTTCCGCCGTGATGGGAAGTATAAAGATATGGCCGGACACGATATAAACTACATAGCAGTATCAGGCGCTTTATCACTTCTCGGACGAAAACATGAAAAACCATTACCACCAGCAAATATACTCGGGGATTTTGCAGGAGGTGGAGCTGCGTTATTCCAAGGCATTTTACTCGCGTTGCTAGCCCGGGAGAAGAGTGGAAAGGGGCAAGTGGTGGAAGCGAATATGGTGGATGGAAGTGCATATCTTGTAAGCTTTCCGAGAATGTTGAGGAAAACTCCCATGTGGAATAAACCGAGAGGAGAAAATACTTTGGACTCGGGAAGTCCGTATTACGATACGTATAAAACGAAGGATGGGAAATATATGGCGGTTGGCGCTTTGGAACCGCAGTTTTTCAAAGAATTGATCAAAGGGTTGGGATTGGAAGGAACTGGTATAGAGAAGACGAGAGAAGATAGAAAGACATGGCCGGAAATGAGGAAAACTTTCACAAGGTTATTCAAGGCGAAAATCAGATCTGAGTGGGAGGCTATTTTCGATGGGACAGATGCTTGTTGTACACCTGTTCTTGATTACGATGAGCTAGAGAATGATCCTTCCAGAGAAGGCGATCAAAGGCCAATGGTGACACTCAGAAAAACGCCATCTCTCGCAATGTCCACAAATAGTAACCAGGACCCGTCGATTGGTCAAGGACCCGGCGTGGAAGGAGGAAGCTACACCGGAAAACCGTTGTATCCTGGAGAAGGTGGAGAAAAAACACTAAATCAATGGCTAGGGTGGAAAAGAGGGGAAAGTTATGATGTCGTAAATGGTGGCTTGATTGGAAAGAAGCATTCGAAATTATAATTCACCATTGTATCTAACCACACCTCGAATACCTCAGACCTTTCATCTATTAGTCCTCCTTCCATTTTCATATCTATAACGCCCCCAAACCCAAATCTATACTCCGAGAATCAGAATCCGAAACCTCAAGCCATCATCGCCTACCAACCCCAAATCAACTCCGTTCCCCTGTCCCCGACGGCCGGTGATCTGCTCCTAACAGATGCAGCAAATTCGTGGCTGGACAAAACTCCAGCTTAAGCTTCGAACGCAGGTACACCTTCGGAAGAAATTAATCAGTGTCACAACATTACGAACCATCACGAAGAAAACTTACAACTCAGATTTTGAAATCATTATCATCTAGCTCAATAAGCATCGATGGACTTGGAGGTGGATTTGGAGGAGGAGATGGCGGATCATCCCTTGACATGTTTGTCGGCGAAACAGATTCGACTTTTGGATGATGATTTACTCGTCGACGAGGTGTTCGAATTTGTAGAGCTCCGAGTGATAAAGCTGGTGGAGCAGCTTTACGCTGACGCTGTCGAAGACGTGAATAGGAAAGATTTGCTGGAGCGACGGCCATCTTTCTTTCTGATCTGAAACAATACACAGGATAATTATATAGGATATAAGGGAAAAGAAAATATGAACCCCAAAAATCAATAATAGCCAAGTCGATTATCTCCCATAAGAAGAAATCGAAATCTAGTGCTCACAAAAAGCAAATCTAGACAAGTCAACCACTTTCGGAGAATTAGCTAGATAGTAGATAGATAGAAAGCTGAAAGACTCTAAAAAGCTCTTGAGTCAAGAATTTCTTCTTTTGCAGGCCCTTTCATCGTACTTAAATAACTATTTCCCTTATTGCTTCGACCTTCTAGATCTATCACAAAATTCCCAAATGTTTCTTCGATACCCGCATATTCCTTCTAACGTGCTTTTTTGTAACACCGATGCTCTGTCTAGACCCTACATACAACAGTACTCCCGACGGCTTTGAAAGCCTCGAGAGGGCAGTGACATTCATTTGGTCTTGGCCTGAGTGTTGTTTTTTTTATCTTCATTTGGATTAGATTGATGGATAGATAGATAAATAGATAACCTTGATACATACAAAGATACGTAGATAGACAGTCGTCACGAAGCCTTCCAACTTTACAGGAACACACACACACAAACAAACAAAAAGATTCACCGCAACCTTTAATTAGCGGCAAACACAATAACGGTTGTTGTTTATGTCGTATTGAATTAAAATAATAACAATAACAATAATAAAATAATAATGAAATTAAAATCAATTCCGTCATTCCGTCATCCCGGGAACGGGGGAACACCTAGTCAAACTTCCAGAAGCAAACATGCGGAAATATGGTAAGATACGACAAATCATTTTTCGCCAATCTCATCGTGGAGGGAACCTACTTTGTGTTACTTTGCTCTACCTTGCGGGAGGAGGAGAAGAAAAAAAACTAGGAAACGATGAAATGAGGGAAGAAGATAGGGGGAGAAGAAGAAAAATTCGATATCGGAAGAGTAAAGTAAGTTTACAATTAGTAGATAAGTAAATAAAAAGTAATTAAATCGTCACTCTAATCGTATATATGTATAGGTAGGTATCTAATGTTTCATCACTTGTTGTATACTCACTCTTACTCTAGTATAGATGATACTGTATAGGTACCTATCTACACAAACATTTTACAAGCAGAAACATTAACCTTAATCTATGAAATAATCGCTTATCTGCTCCTCTCCATCTCCATCTCCGGCACATTTGTACCCCTGAATCCCTGATATATTTACTTCCTTTACTTCTACTCTTCGACATTCCTTTACCTTCACTTCACATCGTCATGCCTCACCTCATTCCATCATTGTAAGATCTTACAAACATTCATACATATACGGATATATACATACCTACCAAAAGTATAGATATATGCATACCCGGCAAACCAGCAGCGCGGTACTCTAGGTTTAGAATTACTTCAGTTACTTCAATCACTACTTTAACATCCAAAAAGCATTTCTTCTCTACTCTATTCTATTCTATTATATCCCCAGGAGCCGGATAGGAGTCCGATCACGAGAGGTAGGTCGTTAAGTATACCTACACTCCTATATCTCCTCTCTCTCTTATTCTACCCAAAACATACTTCCTCACACTTTTGCTTTCCCATCCCATCCCATCCCCCGGCCTCTGCATCTCCTACTCCCTATTAATAAAGAAAGGAAAAAAAAAAAAACAAATCATAAAAAAGAACCAGATAGAAACAAAGCCCTAACCCTATAAATCCAAATCCAAATCCAAATCCAAACCTCAAAACCCAAACCCAAACCCTAACCCGAATCCAAATGCAAAAAGATATCCCTATCCCCACATACCACAAGATCTTAAAACAAACCCGATCGATCTAAGGTTACACAATCACTTAGCATGGGCACAAAGAATGATCTAACTCTTTAAATTGCAAATTCCAAATATCCAAGCTCAAATAAGTCTAGAGTCCATGCACCTCATTTCATTTCATTTCATTCCCTACCCCTATAGTACTAATAAGCCCTTTTCTAGCTTTTTAATAAGTGTATGAAAAAGGGAAAGAGTTATAAGATAAGGCAAGACAAGACGAGGCAATACAAGGCAAAGGAAGACGATACAGGACAGGACAAGGCAAACATTTTCTTCGAGAAAGCCGATTAGGTTGTATACATATACACACATATAGATCCGCATATACCTACCTAAAAACAATACCTACCTACAAAACAAT